ATGTTTTTTTTTTTTTTTTTGTGTGTCGTGTGGGCGGGTTTGTCCGTCCTATCGTGTTCCTCATCCTTTTCCTCCACAAGGTTCTTCTCCTGACGATAATCAACCACGCTCGCCACTGCTCTTTTTTAAGCAACGATTTTCATACGAGTGTTGGTATTGAAGCGTCTGGAGCAAGATCGAACATGGATACCAGCGGTTGTTCTAAGATTCCACTAACAGCACTGACAAGCTACAGCTATTCACGCTGACTCGAGCATTGATGTGGCGCTAGCAGCAATATTTTTCCAGAGACCAGCAGCACTAGACGTTGTAATCCGTGTTGCGGTGCCCTGCAGACGCCTGGGAGTCGGCCCTATACCTGACTGGATCACGAATCTGTCGGGGCCCAAGCCTGGGAGAACCCCGCTTTGCAAAGCCCCTGTCACAGTCTGTGAAACCCTTACCCTCGTGGCAGGGCTGGCGCCGGCGCCCAGGTGGTGCTTTGGCCTGCAGAGCGAGTCTTTTCCCTTTCTACACTCGTCACCTCACTCCTCAACCTAACTCGTCTGCAGTGGTCCGCCCCGACAAATCCCTTCCTCAGGAAACAGGGTCCGCACCTCAGCGGTGTCGTGTGACCTTTGACGTGTGCCGAAGAGGATTGTAAGCTTCGCAAAGTGGTGTGAACCGGCTGCAGCTTGCATGCCTTGACATAATATGCACACATACGTACATACGTACATACATGGTATGTATATATTCATCATACAAGCCTACATACGTACATACATACAAGCATGCATGCATGCTTGCATGCATACATGCCTACATGCATACATGCATACATGCATGCTGCATACATGCGTACATGCATACATGCATGCATGCATGCAAGCAAGCGAGCAAGCAAGCAAGCATGCACAAAGACCTGCGCATGCAGCCACATACCTACATACGTTTCCAGGCACGGTATCCGTCTGCGCGAACCTAAGCCTATACTATGGAGTTGTCTGCCCGCCCAGGTTGCGGCATGCTGTCTCAGGAGTGCGAGCAGCCGCAGTCATCGCGGCAGCAAAGGCAACCGTGAACTGGGCGCTTGCTTCATGGTCGTGAGCCAACTCTGAAACCACAAGGGCAATTCAGGGCTTTTAGATGTTGCAGGCCGTTGAGCTGGAGCACGAGCTGGCCATCAAGCAAACAGTCACCGATGGAGCGGAGTCCTTGGCAAGACCAGGCTGAAGGTTTAGAACCGAAGCGGCAAGGAACATTGGTGCAAATCTCGGAGTGGGGCTGGGGTTGCTGAGGCCACCCACCTGATGGAGCTGGACCAGAGGTGGGCGTGTGGGTGTTAGGCCAGTCTTCTCGCACGTCTTGCGAATCTTGTTCTCAAGATTTTTCTTCATGCCGAAGGCAGCATAAGACTGGTTCACCGAGTGAGGCATCCGCAGGCGCCTTTTTTAATCACGAAAGCTGGTTCTGCCGGAGCATGCGATGCAAGCACTTTCAAACCTCTGCGGTCTAGTAAATCAACCGTTAGTCATGTCCGCAGCCACCCATTAAGTGCCCCGTGACTCCAAACAAGATGCCAAACCTGACATTCTCTTTGGATTCAACTTGATTCCGGCCTGAAAGCATGGTTGGGCTTCGCAGAGCGAACTCCTACGAGAACATTTGCAAGTCAGGCCACTTTCGCAGTGCTACTCCTCGGCAAGTTCTTGCAGGTTTCTTGGCGATGATGTGGCTCCATGTAGCTGAACCGAATTGTCCTGCCGTCCGAAGTGCATGCTTGATCGATGTCCCGAACAGGTTATGGCATCATCTTTCGAGACGCTCTCGATGCCTTTCTGACAGCTGGCGGGAGCAGCAACACGCGGTTTCCGACCATGGAGCAGGTGCAACTTGCTGGAGTATCCTTGTTCAATGCTGCTGCGGAGACGGGTCATGTTGACATCTTTGTCGGCCACTCTTGGAGCGCGGGGCGCTGGTCAAAGTTCCTGGCGCTTTGCTTGCGACTCGGCTCCGTCGCGGAAGAATGGAAGCGATGGGCAGTCACAACAGGGGCAAAATCTCTTCTCTGCGGGCTCCCTCATTTTTTCGAGAAGCACAGTTCAAAGCCCAACCCAAACTTACTCCTCGATCTCAAGACCACTTGGCTAACCCTCTTTGGAATATCAGCTGAGTCATTCCATAAATTCAGACCGCAACGCGCCATGGTGCCACGAAAACAGTCATGGCTTCATGCAGAAACCACAACTGCGTTCGGCCCAAAGGCACGGGCCGCAGCAGCACAATCCTTGCCTGTGCAGTGCACCTAGCTAACACTGAATCAACCGAGGTTCTTCAATCTGGACATGGCAATCCGCTGTGCTTGTGGTGCCTGGCTTGTTGTGGCAGCTACACTGCTTGGGTGGGGTGGCATTACCAGCCTCGGTGGGAGCTACCTCGCACTGCCCTGTCTTGTCTACTTTCCCATGACAGTCTTTTTCGTTGTTTTCATTTTCGGACAGCAGCTCTTCGAGGGGCGACAGCCTCCTGCACTGTGGGTGGACAAGCTCTGCATCCATCAAACAGACATGGATCGGAAGGCAGAACAGATAGCAGCTCTCCCTGTCTTTGTGATGCATTCTTCTCGCATGCTAATTCTGTGGGACGATACTTACTTCGAGAGATGCTAGATCCAGCTTAGCAAGCCGTTTTACTTTTCGCGGTGTGGGTTTCCGAATATTTTACAACGGACCCCCCTTGCTGCTAACAGGGACCCAGGAAAATGGTGCTCCCTGGAGCTGGCGACATTCGCACGACATGTAGGTACAGAGAAGATCGATGTCTTGCCGCTTTGGTTGGCTCCATGGCTGCTGAGTTCAATCCTTCTGGATTTGTTGAGCGTCACCCTTTTCGAGTTCCTGGAACACAGTTCTCCCAATTGGAGTGTAGCCTGGACCAACCCTCTCATGGCAGCATCAGAGTCACTACTAGGAGAGAATCCTGCAACGCTGAAATTCGTGGCGGTATTTACCATCTGGATGATTTCAGGCATTTGTTATGCACCTTCTTCTTTTCCGAGCTCCTTCTCTTTCCGCATGAAGTTACGAAACCATCAGTTGATGCTACAGCAAATGGCCAATTTCGATGTCAGAGCAGCAAAATGTACTCTGCCGTCTGATGCTGAAGCAATCGAGCAGCAAGTGGAGGACTTATTCAAGGACGATGTTGTGGAACGGAGACCTCAGCAGATGAGTGGTGATATTGACAATTGGGAGGCCGCTTTGGGTCATGCGCATGCCGTCTAGGATGTAGATGTTGGCAATTTGTCTTCCGGTTTTTGAAACTGCATCCTGCGACCCTGTCAGAAACCTCAGACGTTGTCCAAGTCTTCGATGTCAGGTCTGTGTTCCCATGCGATATCATGGTGGGCAAGGATCCCCGCCCGATGTGTTCGGTGATCCGCTGGGGCGTTTCAACGCGTACGTCCGGGGCACACTGAGGGAGTTTGTGATTTCGCAGATCGGCGACGAGCTTTACGTCTCGTGGCGGACCTGTCTGATTGCCTTCTTGCCCATGATTTTCTACTCCTCGGTGAATATCTTAGGCTGCGACAACGGGCCTTGTGATCAGTCTGCAGCATTGGCTGGCTACCAGTCGACGTCTGCCTACATGCTCACCTCCATGGCTGGATGGATAATCAACATTGCGCTGGCATTCCCACTGACATACCCAGTCCTACTTCGTATGGTCAAATTCGCAATGTCGCATGGCGATGGTTCATTGCAGCTCTGTGCTGCTTTCCTTTTCTGTCCACTGGCTTTCTTCTACAATTACATCTGTGGAAGCTTAGTGCTCGCCTCGCTTGTGTGCGTGGTACAGAACTATTCGCCGACACAGCTGCTGGTGTGCTTCGTAGTCCTTGTCGTACTTTTGGCGCAAGTTATTTGGCTTTTTTCCAGTGGCACGCATCAGGACAGCAGCCAGCTGTCGTGTCGCTGCGTAAGGCGGCAGGCCACTGCGTACGAGGCACTTGGCAACACCGGTAGTGTTGCATAGCTCTGACAAGCACTTCTTCGACTACAGTCTAGAATAGCCTCATCGACAATCAATTGCGGCAGGTTCGCAGTCCGGCTGAAAGTGGTCGTGTTGTAATTTATACTTGCCATGTATGTCCACGTTGGCCAAGCCATATGTCGGGCTAGCATAGTCCTCAGTTCAGCCAGATATGTAAGGAAAAAGTGCATGTGCATGTGTGCGCTGGTGGAGTTTCTCTTACAGCAGTTTCCCCAATCCTCAGTCTCGGTCCCGCCCGGCCGGTACTCGCGGCAGTGGTTGCAGCTCGAAACTATTTCAGTAGTTTCGGCCGTCTGACACTCGGCCCTTGAAATCTGAAATCTGAACCGCTAAGGATATCATTTCCTCAAAAATCCCCATAAGAAGCCTTACAGCCTCTGGTGAAGAAGGTACGCGATCAGCGAGTCGGCCTCGGAAATCGCATGCAATGCTGGTGCTGCTGAAGCGAGCTTGCAAGGGCTCCTGTCACCGATCGCCCAGCCACTACGCGTGCCTTCTACGCTTGCCTGCTGTTGATGCCAGGTGACATGGTTCGAGCTGCCGCCGATGCCGTCGAGCAGGCCGGCAGTGTCTGCCGAAACAAGCGCTGCACTTCTTATTTTCCAGTGTTTGTCTGCCAGTGTCAGCAATCAGCCAAAGATGCAGGTGAATGATGCTACGTCCACTGTGGTCCACAAGGCCCAATGGAAGTCTTGTGATGTTAAATCAAATCCACAATTTGCTGGTGTTCTTCGCCGTTCGCAGGTCCCACATAGCATAATTGGCATGTTCATCTGCGCTGTCGTGGAGGGGGCTTCGATTTCCGCTTTCACAACACGTGTCTGCACTCCGAGCCTACGCGAGCGAGTACACCGCCGGAGCATTCCGCAGCCTTCGATATGACGTAGCCACGCGAGTTTCATGCCTAGCTCGCGCCATCTCACCTTCGGCCAGAGGTGACCGAGGCGGCCATCCACCGCTCAGCGAACCTGGTCGGAGCCCTGGGTGCCAGAGCCGCGGGTGACGAGGAATGGGAAACTTAGGTTTCAGTTGGATGCAGGATCCGGAAAGTGTGCGCCCAAAGAGATTGCATGCCAAGAGCCGCAACCTTGTCAGCTGTTTGCATGAGATCTGCGGCCGCAGAGGTGTTCAGAAGTTTACTTGTGTCAGAAGACTTCCGTGAAAGAAGCGTCTTATTGTCAACGGCATTTAGCATTTTCGAAAGGGATGAAACGAGAAATTCGGAGTGTTTACGCTTTTCCTCGAATTTGTCTTTTGCGTTCGCCTCCTCTGCTTCATCCCCTTGCTTCCCTTTGCGCTGCCATGCTCTCTTGAGCCCAGGCCTGTGATGTGGTGACACAGGTGCGCCTGCTGGAAATCGATCTTCGAATCTTCAAGTCTCAGGCCAAGGTTATCTATCCTGTGGGTGATTTGCGGTTTGGTGTGTAGGCCATGGGCCATCGTTCACAACCAGATGCAAGCATGCTGTGCTTGTCCTTGTTGCAATCACTCAGCAGCTGCCTGTATGGTCAAAAGTATGTGACGGGTGACGGAAGGCATTGAGCAAGTTGAGCGTGTGAAATCTGCCAGGTTGCCCGGGCTGCTCCGCCGATCGACTCGTTGGGATACATGTGCCGCTTGACGAAGCGGTTCGAACTGCGGGGTTCACCTTGGGGCGAAACTTCGAAGATGGGGCCCGGGCTTGAGGCGTGAGTGTGAACGGATGCAGGATTTGAATGCTCAGGGTGCGTGGGATGTGCCCACCTCCTGCATGTCACCAGTCATCATGACTCTCAGAGTGTGCTTGCCGGTGTCAAAGGTCTCGGAACCCGAAAGCCAGGCCAAGGGGAGAGGGTTGCAGACCGGGATGAAGGGATCAGGGGAATCCCACTAGACTGATGCAAAAGAGTGCAGGTGTAGCAGCTCAGTTATGAAGCCCTTTGAAAATGGCCTGCATTTGCAGCCAGGGCGGAAGATCCGCTACTGACCTCCGCTTGCTTCGTTAGTGTCGAGTCAAGGGCACGTGAGCTACTTCAGTTATATAGTCGTTTGACAGGTTTGATCCGTACTCCGTACTTGCCTTAGGGTTTGTAGGTGAGTAGGGGCATGCAGAACGGAGCAGATTTCAGTTGTAGTGCAGCTTGTTGGGCTGCAGTGCGTGCTCGGACATGTCTTTGTGACGGCTGGTATGCGCCTGTGGTTTCTACGGCTGTGGTCGAGGGCGAGGATCGAGCTATAGTCCGGGAAGTCGAGTATATCGAATCGAAGGGTGACTGCACGTAGTGTCAAGTGAAGCCAACGTGGGTAGTATCCTTGAAGGGAGAAGCTTGAGCCTTGAGAGTTAAGACGGCGAAGGCCAGTCGACTTGCCACCTGTATGACACACTGCGCTTATCAGTGTCGGCAGCAGTCGCATTCGCAGTTGTTGAAGTTGCCCTGCAACGAGTCAGAGATGATCACATTCGCGTTGACCAGCCGTGGAAACTGGTGGCCTACTGCTTGTGCAAACGGCCTCTGTGTGTGTTTGTTGGGTGCACGAGGATGTGAGTGAGGGAATGATGCGTTGATGTTTTGCAGGAGAGTCAAGGAGATCAGGAGGGTCTGCCGGCAGGTGCCATGCTTGATAATGTTGTCTCACGCGTTGCGATGCGCTGCGTGTTTCGCGAGAGGGCGACGGGCGAAGTCCGTCGTCTTCGCAATAGGTCGGGAGCTGCAGGATGATGCCAAACTTCCGAAGGGGTGCATGTTTCGCATTCAGGTTGACCTGCTGGATGCGGCGTTGAGCGTCTGCCTGCTGCTCCCAGCATAGTTTTAAGTTTAGAAAGAATGCAGTGCACAAACGGCAACCGACAGTGGCCGACTTCACCGTGAGCTTGAGCCCTTGCTTGGCCCAAGCCTGGTATTCGCAGGCCTCCTGGCCCAAGCTTGGGACATGGGTCACACCTCTCCAAGAAAATGCCGTAGCCTGTCAATCGGCCTGGAGCTTAAACTTGTAGAGGGGGACTGTTGTGGCGTGCGGCTGGTTATCACTGCTTCAGATCCTTCAATTCTACTGCAGCACACGCGCCACAACCGTCCTTTCTTTTGCATTTTGTCCTCGGTCAGAGCCGAGAAAGACGTGGGAAGGGTTTTGGTTTTCGGGGTTGCCGAGGTGCCCTGTTCTGCCAGGGCGTTCCAGAACGTGCCCTTGAGAGTCCGTGCCTAGGTTTCCTCCACATGCTGCGCAATGCGAAGCCCTCGGATTCGAGCTGGAAGTTTGCAGGCTGCAGGTCATGACCCACTTTGAAGCATCCAGATTCGACAAAGGAAGTCTAAGAAACCTCAGAGCTTCGAAGCTTTGGCCTTCCTGGGATCTCAAGCTTTAGGCGGCGGCTCGGCCTTGGCGGTGCCTGGCTGGCGGCACTGCGTGTGTGTTCTCTGCGCAATGATGAGGACAGGCGGAGTTTTCTGAGGGAGGCCAGCAACAGTTCATTGCTGCCATAGCCTTCCGTACCCGCGCAGCAACAAAGCAACCCCCGAGAATCACAGTCATGGGTCGCACTAAGCATGTTTGAGAAGGTTGACGACAAAGACAAGTTTGAAACACTAGCTCCGAGCATTTCGCAAGCGAAGCGTATCACGCTGGAGATCCTGCCATGTCATTCGTGCCGCGGGTGATCGGGTCAGAGCGGGTGATTGGCCTTCGCGATACCGTGCAGAGAAGAAATGACTTTGCTGATGGCGTCTGCGAGCAGGAGCAGCAGTGGCATCTGGAGCGGCTCGGCTCAGACTCTGGGAGACCAGTGGATCAGAAAGCCCCAGACCTTCACATGGTCTATGTTTTCTTCCACCAAGTTCGAGCTCGGAGATGGCCCCACCTGGTGCCACACAGGCAGGGGCTGCAGGGGGTAGGGTTTGGCTGTGCCGGGGCATTTGCTCTGCGAGGGCGTCTAGTCATTCAGCAGGTGCCGCGTCTCTTGAGTTGAGTGAGCGTCTGGTGTTTTACTGAAAGCGCAGGGCGCAGGATCCAGGAGTGTAACGTGCCCTCATGCAGGTTGTGTACACGTGTCATGCCACACCCGAAACTTGAACATCACAAACCCACAGCGAACCGGGAAAAGCCTAAACTCTTCCTGGGAACCCTAAACGAGCTCTCAAGCTCCGAAACTCAATACGGCCCATTGCAGACAAAAAACAGCCGATGGGCTTTGAGGAAGAGGATTCGAAGCCATTCGGCTTCCTGGAGCCCGAGCCGAAGGACACTAAGGGAAATAGGGAGGAATTGTAGAGCGAATTTAGGACTTGCAGGGCCGAGTGGGCGAACTTTAATAATAAATCCACCAGTAGTCCAGGGTCGCCGAGTGCCTGGGCAGATGCTGGCAGGACATGCAGGAGGTCCAGCTCTTTGCCTCCGCCCTTGTTGGGGGCGGCGAGCGGGGTCAAGTGCTTGGAGGGTTCGGAGCAGGAAAGCCTCCGCGGCTCGAGGATTTTGCGGGGTTGAGCCTGAGGTGGTCAGGTCAACCAGACCCTTGCTGCTGATCCAGGCAGGGTGAGGGTACAACGGTGCAATGTCGCCAACTTGCTTCTTTGATATGATTGTGGCTTGCCTGTGGGGCAGCCTAGTTTTGGTTCCGGTGCTCCACATGTCAGACGGATCATGAGCTTCGCAAGAGACTTTTTTGCCTTCAGCGCAAGCTTCTGCCTGCCCAACACAGCCGAGTGTTCTTTGCAGTTTGACCAGGCTCCGCAGCAGCACTTCTGCAAAGCCTCGCGGGCGAGCTGCGCGTGGCCAATGATGGCAGTGACCGTCGACCAGCCTCCTTTTCCGGGCTTGGTCGGGAAACTGTGGCGGATTGAACAGGGCGGGAAGCACAGCTTGTGACGCAAAGAGCTGCTGTTCTGTAATGCAGAGCTGCCAGGCGACCTGCAAGCATACAACCACCTGCTGGAGCTGCATTTCCAGGCGACTCGATTGTGTCTCTCAACAGCTACAGCCAAGTGTGGTGTTTGGTGGCAGGAGCGAAGTGACACAAATCACGCCAGCCTTTCGCGGGCCCGACTCTCGGTGAAGGGTCGCGGGATGGAGCATGCGGCCTGTCGCCATGGAGCTCAGGGTCACAGGTTCTGGAAAGATGAAACTTGTCGCCGCGTGGAATGTGTAGGCGAGCAAAATCACATAAGATGCGGGCCATCGAATTCAGAGTTGATCTTAGTTGATCTCCTGCAAGAAATGATGCTGCAAACATCACCATTTAGGCAGGGACGTCAGTAGCATCTGGCAATTCCAGGGTTAAGGTGTCAGCTGTCGCATGATGAAGGAGAATGGGCGGAAACCTCTATATGTTGATCACTGTTAGTACTGTTGAGGGCGTCATTTGGCAGCTGGCTGACGACATCCGCAGGCTCCGAGAGATTGTTGCTTGATGAGTGCGGGCTTAGGAACTGGACGGAACCGAGTCCTGCTTCCGAGTGCTCTCAGTGCTTCGCTTTGGAAGATCTGGCTGTACTAGATTCAGGATCCATTTACCAAGCAGTGTCTTACACTGCATTGTCGACCTGCTGCTCAGTCGGTGACATGTCGGGACGCTGTCAGACCAAGCCCACTTGTCCCTACACCCACAGGATAGAGCGGCTGCGGGCAATGAGCGCAGCCCCTCGACTGAAACGACGGCCGAGTGCTTGCGAGAGTCAGGCAAGTCATGCTAGCAAGGATGAGCTGGCTGCTGTGCCCGAGGAGGAGGCAAATCCTGGCGGAAAAGTGTAAACTTACCGATCGTTACATCGGACCTGTGGTGTGAAGCCCCTTCCGTTTTCAACCTGAATGCCGGAGCATACGGGTGCTCAGATTTGCTACAAGTTTGAAGCTGTTTAAAGCCTTCTCCACCTCTTAGCCGGCCAGGCCGACAGCTTCGTTCACTTCTTCCGTGGGCTGGCCAAGCAGAAGCACGGAGAAGGATCCCGGATATTACTGTAGCCGTCAAGACACACATGTACTCGGCTTTCCAGCCAATTTTCACTTCTTCCATGCACAATGCTCTGGAGACTCACGTCGAGACTCGCCAAAGAGCGCTCAAGAGCCCTGAACCCTAAACTTCCCTAAACCCTGAATCGTTTGTCTTCGGCGCCTTCGGCGCCGCCAGGCCGGGCCGTGCTGGCAGAAGGTCTCAGCTCTGCGAAGCGCAGAGCTGCAGCTTGGCAGAGCGAGCCTCCAGTCTCTTACTCTTCTACCAGATAGCAGCTGCGTGCATGTCAATGTGATGTCTGTGGATCTTGGATCTTAACATCATCGGGTGCAGGCTTGCATGCATGCGGAGATACTGAGCTTGCACATACACTCGCATGTGTATAATAGGAGGGGGGGGGGGGCGCATATACTCATATCGATCTGAATGTACGGAAAGACAGGCATATCTGCCAAGACGTACATACTAGTACGGATACACGTATGTACCTTCGGACGTATGCGTCAGCATGTGCGTTTATGCATGTACGGTACCATGGGTGCATGTGTATACTAGCACATTATGTATATGCCATGCAATATGTATAAAGGTATAGGTATATATATATATATATATGTTATGTATATCTGTATGTATGTATATATGTGTTTATGTATAGGTGTTTATATTTATATGTATACTATGTGTATCTATATATTTATATGTGTGTATGTACATGTGTATCTTTGTGCATATGTATCTGCGTATATATGTATACATGTATATATGTATGTACGTACATATGTATACATGTTTGGATATAGATGCAGATTTGTATTCGTGCATTTAGATGTGTATCTACACCCGATACATGTCTGTGTATGGATGCCTTTCTTTGCGTAGTGAAGGATGTGTTTGCCTCAAGCCGAGTTTGCCTCATCATGCTTAGTCTGCTGTCCGTCTCAGTCTGTCACTCTGCATCTCTATGTCCGTTCTCTTGACCAGCATTTGTACACAGATATACGTATATGTATATGCACACAAGCCTTTCTTTATTTTGCATGTGCAATGCTTGAGGGGAGATATACATTGCTCGAATGCGAAACATACGAGCTTGCTTCAAGCTTGTTTGGCCTCAAGGGCCGGTATGCTTGCACAGACTGCCATTAAGCGTCTCTCATCCCTTCGAACCTACGCATCAAGTCTTTGAGTCGCCAATGTCGTGTCTTGCGTGTCGTAAGCCTGGCCCTCCGAGGTCATTTTCACGTGCAGCTTCGGCGATGGCCACAAGTCCGCGCAGCAGGCAGTCGAAGACTTCTTGCAGGTGGGCGCGTGCCGCTCGAAGAGGAAGCCGACACTCTTCACTGGGACTGCCAGGCGGCCGGCTTCGTCGTGGAGGCGGTGGACACGACGCATGATCCGCGCTTCGAGGTGTCGGAGTCAATAATCTGGTTGCGGGGTGGCACCTCTGTCGAAAATTCCTCTGAATCGACGGGTGCACATTGCTGGCTTGTGCTTGGAGGACTCGTTGCAGAGGAGACTCAGCAGCCGGAGCCTGAAGTCCGGCATCCTGCGAGGTTGAATCTACGTTCCAGAGTTCTTCGCTACTTTGTGTTCTCAGAGAAAAGGGTGGAGTTTATTGAAAGCCTGTCTCATGCTCTTCGCTCCCACAGTAGCTCGTCCTGGTTTGGCCCCGAGATGGGCTTAGTTTGGGGTTTACGCTGCTGCTGTACTTGTTCTGGCATGTCCTGGTATGGTGTCGCCCAGCACGCCTCATGGACGTCTGGTACAACCGGATGGTTCTGCGATGGTCGGAATCTCATGACATTGAGTTTTTTCTCGCCACGTCAAGCTCTGTGCCACAAGCTTCCCCATTTCTGCCCAGGCAAATGCAATTGAGATCTGTACCCAAGTGATCTTCAACTTCTGCTTGCGATTGAGGAAGATGTACAGCATCCAGAACATAGTTGAATCGATGGGTCCTGATCTCAGCACGCACTTCGTTCAGCGCGGAACATCTCTGGAACCGAATGTTACTGTTACGGTGTGGTCAGGCACCCTTTTCTTCGGGCAGTGGAATTCGCCATGCCCTTCCCCGACTTGCAACACTCCAACCAAGGAGCTTTAGAGTTGGAGCCGCGTTTGGGCTTGGCCGAGCCCTGGCATAGCCGGTATAGCCTGCGAGGACGCATTTCGAAGTGTGCTCCTGGAGCAGAAGCCGGACATCGTGGTCCGGTCCTCAGATAGCGAGTGGAGCCCTGGGGCTTGCAAACATCAGTCTGGCTTGATCTCATCACCGACCGCGATCGCACAGCGCCGAGAATGATGTTGATGCTACGCGGAGGAGGATGTGGAAGCATAATCGAGAAAGTTGCACCTCGATGGTGAAGGTGCGAAACATTCAACCATAGTTTGACAGAATAGAGAACTTACCCGCTTCATTCGTGAGTATTCCGGTTCGAGAGGAAGAGAACGCATCAAACTCACGGCTTGTCCGTGACGCGCTGCCTCAGGTGACTGTGTACCACATGGACGGGCTGCACATAGCTGCACGTGGGGTCATGCGATCTCATGGCCATTTGAGCTCCTGTGAGTTTCAGGACCTCCTTCCCATTCTCGAGGTGGCGAAGGATGTGGGCAACCTCCCGGTCCTGCACATCGCTACAGCGGCGGCCCTTGTTTCCTTTTTGCATACCAAGCCGATTGTCAGGCATGATGTTCAGGGTGTTGTTCAAGCTGGCTCGATTCCATCGAAAACTTTTCTTTCAAGACCAGATTCAGCTCCTGTCCAGTGCGTATGTGCCTGTGTAGCTGAGGACATGGATCTGAAAATGCGCGAGGCGGGCTCGCGTGCGGCTTGTTTCCGGCAGCGTGCTTTCTCAGCAAACAGTGCTATCATTTCTGCAGAACGCAGATTCGATGCTGCAGAGCACAGCTCAAAGCTTTCGCTGCCAAAGATATGTTGCGACCCCACTCCTGCCTCAGCCGTGATGCCGCCAGGCTAGCACAAGTGGCTCTCCACCTGTTTACGCAGCCAAAACTTGAATCCAGGATTGACGAATCTGATGTAGTGAGCTCCGGGGCCATGGTGGACTCTCCACGTACTCCGCCTCCGGTCTCCCGGAAGGTGCGGGCAGCCGGCTTAGGGGCTCACGGCCACATGGTATCGTAATGTTTGTACAGGCTTTCGAAAGGCAGCTAGGCAGCAAGACTGAGTGGACGGGTGTTACACTAGGAGCCAGGGTAGAGGGCAAGAGGCAAGAGGAGGCCTTTTCTCTGTGTTCAACGACCCGAACATCTCACGGTCATCTTTCCTTTCCGCTTCCGCAGACTGTGCTGCGCATAATGACGATCATTGGATCATTTGATGTGCCCGCGCTGGAACACGCTAAGTGCAGAATGGGCTGTAATCGCACTCATCCCAACTTTTAAGCTCACTTGCATTGAGCAAGGTTGTTGTGGTTGTTGTTGTTGTTGTTGCTGTTGCTCTTCTGCCAATATTGCCAGTGAGTGCTATCTTGTCGTCTTCTTGACGTGATTGCTAATGGTCACACCGGCTGTTATTCGACAATGCTTTCGTTTTTCCCCGATCCGCTTTTGTAGTTGTGATTATTGTTCTGATTCTGTTTTTTTCTTCTGCTTCTTCTTCTTATTCTTGCTGCTGTTGTTGTGGTTGTCGTCGTCATCGTCGTGGTTAGTCGTTGTGGTCGTTGTGGTTTGTTGTGGTTTGTTGTGGTTGTGGTTGGTTGGTGGTTGTTGGGATGATCACTCTTGATACGGTTACCATTCTTATTTCTTCTCGCTGTAGCACCTTTGCGAGGGCAGCCGCGAGTCGACTGTGTACGGACGGTCGCGGGTGCCCAGCGATGCGATGGATCTGGAGGCTCGCTGTGCACGAGAGCTGGCACATGCTGAAGATGATAGGTGTGCAACGAAAAACTGCTCCGTCCCCTGTCATGTATAGTTCCCTAAAAAGAACTTCAATGGAGTTTGAGGGCCCTAGTGATATTGCCTTCCTATTCACTCTCCTTTGCTTCATTAGTCAGTTCTTTGCAAACCGTCTGTAGCAACTTTCTTTCTTTTTCATTTTTCTTCGTTTCACCTCAAAATGGTTCGGCCTCCGGACTTTCTCGCGTTCAAGCTGTGGCACGCTCTTCCAGGGTCAAAGCAGGCAGGAGCTAAAAAGGCGGCTATTTTTTCATCTTCCAAGCGCCAAGACCTCATCATGCTTCTCCAGAAACACTTCCGAGATCCGATCCTTGCAGAGGATCGCTCCCCCAGAAGGGCCTGGTTTCAGGAGGCACGAGCTTTAAAGTGGGAGGTAACGGCTTTCAAAGCGTTTGGGCTGATATTGGGGGAACTCACCTTATTGGGAGACCCGGAACCCAAGTAGGATTCAGGGTGTCTGGTGTTTGGGGATGGGGCTTTTGAGACAGCTAGTTCAAAGAGTTCGTCGCTTCGCGACCAAGCTGATGCTACGGAAAGCAACGCGATGTAGGCGATGTAGTTCTAAAGATATTTCTGCACTTGCTACAACATGCAAGCATGGTGCTTGGATCTGGGTTCAAGGCTGAAGTGATGTGGGCTTGCAAACTTCCTGGTTGAAACGAAGGATGGCCGATCCCCGAAGAAGAGCAGCGGTGACGGCGCCACCCGCCGACTGGGTGCGACTTTAATGCGACTTGGATCGATTGCATTGCATTTGGTTTCAGACTCTTCGTCTCGAGTCCAAAATGTCGTTCTGACTTGGACGATGTTGTCACAGATGCATTGATACTGGCTTAATAAGACCACCCATGATTACCCTTGACGGACTTCCTTTCCAGGCTCGTCAACAATCCTTCAATCCGTGAGTGAATCTGCCGGTGCAAGAGCAAGAGTAGCAAGAGTCAGAGTTTTCAACGAGCGGGAATCTTCTTTCGATGCTCAGGCCCATCCGTGCTGGTGCTGACGGCGGCCTGGAAGTGCTTTGCGCGCAAAATACAGTCGCCTGGATTTTCAGTTCGGGGATGCAAACCATTTGGAAGTTGGGCTTCTCGAAGCTTCGACGGGAACTGGAGATTGACCGGGAAGTGCCAGGTTGACAAGTCGCCCACATTCAGAGACCCATTTTGCCGGTGTGACTGCTTTTGTCAGGTTCTCAACTACCTGAAGTCAGAACCGGGCAAACATGTGCTCGTAGACTTTCCTGGGGAGTTTCGCTTGCTGGGGGCCCTCTACAAGCCTGCAGTGGATGTGACCCTCGGCACAGATTGCGCTTTGGGGTTCGAGTCTTGCTGCAAGCTGACAGCAAGAAGCTGATGACCCACACCTGACTGGTCGGGACGCCAAAGTTTCGTAGCTTGGGCTGCTGTCAGCAAAGGACCCCTTTGGACACTGCGATCCGCGGCCTGGGGCTCTGACACCAAGTCATGAGTCATGATGCACCCTTTGCGATTGCCGACCGTGAGACCTGATTGCATGCATGTCTGCAAAGCCAGCAGGTCTTACCAGCGCGGGATTGCGGAATGCACAGCGCTACATCCGCACCTTGTCATCTGTGCTCTACGAGGTTTTGGAAGGCTGATAAATTTTCCGGGTGGAATTGACACGGGCGACTCAACTACAATGCTTGAAGGTTCTGTCTTATTATTGTAAATTACATCATTGAACGCCACGAGCAGAATCATGACGGGTCCCCGCATACACTAGGGCCCCCGCGCCTCCAGGCTCTTACGTGGCAGAGAGGGAGGAGTTAGGCTTCGCAGCGATGCGTGCTATGCTCTTCGATGTCACCTTGCAGGCCTAAGCGTGATTCTTGCTGGTGCTGGCACTTCCACCAGACAATAACGGCAAGGGTCATGAAGCTTCTGACTATTGCTATGAAACGACGTCAAAGAGTCCCAAAATATTCAGCCCTCTGTGCAGGCCGGTGGGGCGCACAAGACGTTTCACTTCGTGTGTTCAATGAGCCGCACGGCCTCCGAGCGCCTGGTGAATCTGCTGAACCAGTTTCTGGAAGCTCAGCAGGACTGCTGCGACTCCAAAGGTGCCGGAACTGCAATATTACTGGGTCTAGGCCCCGAGTTCTGGGAACGAGAGGCAAGGGCAGTTTGGGAATCCTCAGAATATGAGCATCCATGACCTTTGAAGCCGGGCCGGTTCCAGGCGACAAGCTCTTCGAGATTCCTGAAGCTTTGCGAGCACAGCTCTGTCCCATGTTCCACAAAGTGTCATGGTGGCGAATCGATGAGCTACTGAATCAGTCCGAGCTCGACTTCGTAAATGATCCTTGGAGCAGGAAATCACACCTTTAGAATATTCGTGTCTGTTGTGGCATTCTGTCTGGGGCGCTCAGTCCTGCCACATGAAGGAATACCAGCGAGTCGGACTGCAAGCACACGGGCGGGCAGCGCGTCCTTCTGGAAATGCACACCTGGACATGCTCCGGCGTCTTCAGAAGTTCACTGCTGACCAAGTGTTCCAGCAGTGTATCCTGACCCACGGCTTTGATTCTAATGGGGAGTCTTTTTATGTGAGCGGGTCAGTCTGGGAAATGGGGTCTCGACTTCCACGTCTGTCGAGGAGAGAGCAAGCCCTGCTCTGCGTGCCGAAGAACTGCTGGAGTGAGCTCGAGTGCGGGGAGCTGGAACCCTGCATCCAAGGCGTGGTTGGTACTCGTAAGGATCGAATCTAGGTGAAGGGTGGTGCTCGAAAGCAATGATGTGGTCACAGCTTCTTTGGCAAGACAGTCGAACGAACTTGCTTTATGTACTTTTACACATTCTGCATACTGGCCTTTTTTTCGAGCGTGTTCAATCGGGTACGAAGCGGCACATTGTCCTGGTCACTTAAATCGCGAACTGGTGATTCGTATATACGGACATCAGTTCTACAAATCCTGATTACAGTCTTCACGCAACACCGCTGCAGCCTTTCGGTGCTCTGGTGCCAGGATGCGATGGTTTGAACATCCTGTCGCTTGGCTGTTGAAGCAGTGCTCTCGCGCGCATCCCTTGTGCTAAACTGCCTGAATATGCAAAGATCCAGGAGGCTTGCAGGACATTGCAACATCAGACAAGGTCCTACAATTTGAACATCCTTCCCTTTGGCGTGGCGTCGCTGCGAGGCGTGGTGGACTGAGCTCCTCCGGACCGTGGTGGAGCTTCGGGTGAGGGGAGGGTTTAGGGATTGAGCATTCCTTCTGCCAGTGAGGATGCTTATGACGGGTCAGGTGTGTGCAGAGCAAAGGATGTTTGGTGCTGAGATTGATGAGTTCGTGGGTCGAGACTCCCTTTGCTCAGCCGTTTTCTCTGCTAAGAGCTCCCTCTGTCGAGAGAGCTTGCGGAATGGCCTACAAGTCTTGGCTCATTCCTTGGTCCACAGGCCACGAGAGCCTTCACAGCAGCGCCCGGCTGCAGCTGTTCCTGGCGGCTGTGAAGGGCGAGCTCGAGGCAGAAGGATAAGCGGCCTTATAAACTCTCCCCTCCCAAACAGCACACTTACGGGAACATGCGTGAGCGTGGTTCAGGGATGTCTTTGGGTGGACCGGCCTTCATCACAGTATTTCGAAAGGATCCCCGGCAGACTGTTTGTATTCGAGTTGATTCGCTGCGACAGTGGAGGGATCTGCCGGGAGTCTGCCGTGCCCGAGCCTTCCCGAGCTGTCCCGAGCCCCCTGACGCCAATCGGCTTATGCGCGAGGCAGAGGCTGGCCCACGCGAAGTCGGCAAGGCGGCTTTCGGGGCCAAGGTTGGTTCGGGGTTTGTAGTGGCTTGAGGATGTTCGAAGATCTGAAGGGCTTCGTGTTGCACGGGCATCCAGTCATACCTCAAAGATCTACGAAGACAGCCGTCTGAGGATCGTGTCCGAGCGCCGGACGTGATTGCTGTGCAGGAGCCTTTGCTTGCTTTGACGTGTCATGGAGCCGGGTGAAAGGTGGAGTTGGTTTGCAGGATTTTGAGTCAGAGCAGAAAGTTTGAATTGTTCACCAAGTCTTTCCAAAGCGGGGAGACCATAGCAGCAGAGATGTATCGATACAAGCCCAGTGCGCGTAAGTCATCTCAGAACCAAAGCCTGGGTTTGTTCGTTGGTAGATAGGGTGCCTAATGAGATACATCCTGATACCAACGTCATGGACATCGCACCAGTGCAGCGACTACTCCAAACGACCCAAGCTCGAAGCTCAATTTGTTCCAAACTCGCAGTCCACCCCACGTTTCTGGACAGCCCATCAAACAATGCAGCGGGAGAGGAGCTGTTCGCCTCACCATTTGTGCCGTGCTTCTGTGCACAGTCCGCTGCCGTGAGTACCCTGTCGTACAATGGGTGTTCAGACTTTGTTCAGGACCACATAAATCCGATCTTTCTGGCCTCAAACCCCCTCACAACTAGAAAACCACTGACAACTTCAATCTCTGCGAAAGTAACAAAGGCAAATGTACTTGGCCACAAAATCGGTATGGTAATGCTGAATTTCTTTGCTGTAGGGCATCGCAGTCACAGTCGCCTCCGACATCGGAATCATAGTCATAGTCATCATCATCATCGCCATGATCCAGCTCACCATCGTCATCACAAACATCACAGTGATGATGGTGATCCTGATGTTTGTAATGGTTCATCATCATCATCATCATCAACACCGTCGTGGTCGTAGCAGTAGTACTGGTAGTAGTAGTAGTAGTAGTAGTAGTAGTAGTAGTAGTCGTCGCCGTAGTCATGGTAGTCAAGAACTCATAGTAGCAGTAGTAGAAGGAATAGTAGTAGTAGTAGTAGTAGTAGTAGTAGTAGTAGTAGTAGTAGTAGTCTCCCTTCCGAAGCCTCAGGCACGATGGCATCGTTGGGCTATCATGCTGTCATTGGGCCCAAGCCATCCGTGCCTCCGGCTGCAAGTACAACTCGGAGAGCCGACTCGATGCTGTAGATGTGCAGTTCCAGTTCAGCTCCCGAAGCAGTGCGAATTTTGTTGGTCGGGTTTGAGGTGATGGACTTGCTTCGGCGAGGTGGCCGCGGTCGCATTTGGGTCACAAGTTCCAAACGAAAAACGTTTTGGCTCTCAGCCCTTTTGTGGGGGTGCACGTTGAAGGTTGCATGCCTGTCCCAAACTGAACATGCTTCTGGCAACAGCACAGTTCCACCATCATAGCCTTGGACGCGACTTCCGCAACTTTGGGATTTCTCGTAGTTCGAGTTGCAAAGGAAAGTGGACCGACAGCGGATTGGTCATCTTCAGCCGGCTGCCAGTTGCGGAGACGCGATCAATTCGCTTCGCGTCGGGGGCTGCTTTGGATGCCGGTGCCTGCAAAGGCCGTGAATGGGCGGGAAAGAAGGCTTAATTGCAGTCGTAGTAGTTGTCAGGTGCCATGTGGGCGCGGGTGGAACTGGCGTCAGGACGATATTTGGATGTGTCGCTCGGGAGCAGCAAACAAGTCTCCAAATCACGCTGTGCTTCTCCAGACCCAAAGCAGCCACCGGAAACTCTGAGTGGCTCAGCTCTGCAGCGGCTTTGAGCTATTTGCGTGAATGCCCCACGACAAGCCAATGCGAGGTTCAACTGCCACCTCCAAGCCTCACACACGGGTGCGGATGGTGAGGTCTTCGATCGGATCCGCCGGTCGCAATTAAAGGCGCCCTGACTTCCGTTGCAAACCAGACATGCGGTTGGTCAAGATCGCAACTAGCTTCGACATTCTTGAGTCCGTAGTAGCAGATTCCAACGATGATGCTTTAATTTTTGCTTTTCTCACGTGAAGTACGACAGATATACTGATGCGGCAAGTGTGGGGAGTAGCTTGCTTACGAACTTTGGAATGTTCCACACGATTAGTTCAGGATTCATTTCGAAACGTCAAGGAACTACGCTAAAATGTTAGCGTCAAGTAGCCTTGACCATACCATTCAGCTGCTTAGCTAGTTGCCTGCTTTTCGCTTCTTTCCTCCGCTGCAAAAGTGCACATCGTGCACTCCATCCTGTCGCAGGAGCTTCGAGAATTCATTGAGCTCGCCGGCACGGAACATCCCTATGCCGCCTTGCGGCACGTGGGGCGTTCATTATTCGATGGGTTTGCAGGGTGCAGAACCAGCAACCCTGAGGGATGGAGGGCATCATAATGCAGACTACAGTCGCACAAGACGCCCACACCATGCCGATTTGAAGCCTCTTCGAACAGCCTGTGGAAAGGCTTTTGACCTGCCATGACTGAAATGGATATCTCCGGTTCAGGGCAGTCTGAAGCCAGTTTTTTCACTGACATTATAAGGGCCACTGTCGGAAGGTAGTAGGTGCAGCGGGGCTTTCAAATCTCGAACAGGCCTTGCGTGTCGGGGTCGCTTGCAGCGCTGCGGGAGCTTCAAAAATGGGGCTTGGTGTATTCGTCGAGCTCGCATTCGTACCTTGGCCTGTCTCCTGCACCCAACATCCCGAGGTCCTCACTGGTGATTTCAACGTCGACGCAATCCCGGAACCCTCGGACCCCATGGGTACGTATGGGATACCCTTCCGCCCGCCACGCCAGGTGGGACACTTTAGCCCACTCGAGCTTTGTGTCGTTCAGGATCACTAGAGTAGAATCCACCGACAGTGTACAGATCCTGATGTCTTCAATCCTTGCTGGAGCTGGCAGGGTTTGTTGGGACTGGGGCAGTCAGAAGCTTTGAACTACTGCACTTCCGCCAGTGCCAGGAGTCGGAGGACTACCAACGCCTCCTCCATGCCCTGGACCCACGCGGACGGCTGGTGGATCTCCTCTGTGGGCCTACGCCTCAAGACCCCCTCGGGAAGGCTGGAGCAAACTCAAACCAAGCCCAACGTTCAAAAAGGGTAGGCGCGGATCATGTTCTGTCCCAACCCGCTGAAGAGCGAAAAAGCTTCGAGTGCTCAGTTGAATATTCCGATTCAGGGATCCTGTGGGCAGGGCTCTTGCATCCAGGAAAGGTTGAACACGCTGAGCCTAATAAGTTCGCAGTCATTGAACCTGCCTCAGCCGCAGCGGGGCCTGAACTCAGATGTCCAGAGCTTCAGGCATCCTGAGGCCTTCAATCTGCTATGCCATAGCCCTCGAATGCTTGAGGCTCTGAATTCCCACCTCGTAGCTTTCATAGTTTTGGACACGAACTCTCAGGTGGGAAGACTTCTACAAGCTCCTTCCTACCCCAAATCCCCCACCCGTGTACTCGCCTCTGCAGGAGTCACCGTCAGGCCGGCGCCATCCTTGCACGCGACCACCGCGTTTGCGGATGCCCTCCTCTGCAGGTCGAAGTGCAGCAATGGTATTACTGGGATTCCTCTCGGGCTTTGTAAGTTAGACGGTTGCATGACCCCTTCTCGTGTCCGTAGTTTTCGCAGACCAGTTCAGCATCGTCTATGAGCATGTGTCATGTGAAGGCTATGTGGCGCGACATAAGTACCCGCAGCGGCTGGATTACGAGCCTAGTCTGGTCGGAGCATTTTTGAGTTTTCTTACGTATGAGCTTTCGTTTTGAAGACATGGTGCATGATCCAGACAACCACATAGTTCGCAGTGATGCAGACAGGTCTTCTATCGACCTACGCTCACCTCACTGGTGGAGCATGCTCACTCGGATGTCGAGCCCTTTGAAGTGAGTGGTCAGCCATTTGAATACCTGAGCGATCACTTTGGCATTCGAGCTCACTTTCGATTCCGCTGCAGCTTCGCGTGGGCGCGCGACCCCCCCAAGTGTAAACCAAATGAGCCGTCGCTCCTGCGGAAGGCAGTGGATGCCCTATGGAAGCGATGGTTCGAAGGATCGCTGCTGCTTGGTCTTTTGCCGGCAGCTTATCTTCAACTGCGGAAGGCAGAGCTCCTGCAAGACGTCCTCCAACGGCCGTTCAGCAGACTTGGTGTCCCTCTCGCGCTCCAGCCTACTCTACTGCAGTACGGCTTCCCTCTGGCCTGCGCTGGCGGCTGTGGGCTGCTCCTGCTGTTTCGGCGACGCTTGCGCGAGGAGGAGCGGCCTCCTTTGGAGCGCACGCTTTCCATGACCGCAGAGTTGGCCTCGTCAGCTTTCCGACGACGGTTGCAGGCCCAGTCAGAACGGCCAGCCAAGACCATTGCCTCCAGCCCCTACGACAGCTTCAACGGATCCGTGGAGTCCTACCGGCTACGGCCCTGCATTGGGCGACGGCCTCTGAACTCGGATGGTAGTTTGGGAGAGTACACCTGGCTGAGCTATGGTGATGCACAGTTCGAAGTCCTGCGGATCTCCTCAGGCCTTCACCGGAAGTTCGGACTCAAGCGCAACGCGCAGGTGGGCCTCTTAGGCGATGCCTCGGCAGACTGGCTCCTCTGTGACTTGGCTTTGATGCGCCTGGGCGCCAACACCGTCTGCCTCGCAGCGCCTGCTTCAAATCCGACCTTGAGCACGACGGCTCCGGTACCCAGCAGCGTGCAAGACCTCGAGCTCCTCCTGTGCTCCTCGGATTGGGTGGAGTACTTCGTGGCTTCCAGGCGAAGCGAGGAACTGCCCCGCTGTCCCATTGTCACGTTCACGCCACTCACACCTCGCCTGGCGGCTATGGCCCAGCACCGGAACTTGAATGTCTGGGACCTACCCTTCATCGCCAACTTTGGCGAAGTCGCCGGCTGGGTGCCCTACGTAGGCGCCTTCCACCCTTTAGCGGACTTTCTCTTTTTCGCAGTTTAAGGGCAAGTTGCAGAGGCCCACGACTCGCATGCCCGTATATGTTTGCAGCTGGAAGGTGTCGGGGGCTTCGATGTCATGACGACCATGTACCGTTCGAGGTCAGGAACGAAGAGTGAGCTGGCTGGAGTTTCGGTGAGCTTGCACCTCGCAAGCATGATGCCTTGAGCCCTCGTCTGCAGCACCCTAAATACGCTGCTCCCTGTCGAAGTGCCTACACGAGACCCTGGAATCTGCGCGCAAGCTCCTCTAGCTCCTCACCCTTTTCAGCCCAGGAGGGGCTTGGCTATGTGTGCTCATCAGATCCGCCAAGCACTGGGCCTTCGCAACGACGACCGGCCCCGATGCTCAGATGCTGAGAGTATCTGGGAGTGGTGGTGGAGAGCATTGGCGTTGATATGAGGACCTAGCAGCTCCAAGCTCTTGGACGGTGCTGTGAAGAGAACTTGTTCTAAGGCACTTCAGCTACATCTGGCCGGCCTTTACTGCGGAGCGAGTGGTGCTTGGGCTTGTGACAACTTTGACCACTTCGCTGCGTTGTGCACAGAGCAGTCGAGAAAGACATAGCTAAATCAAGACATGCGCTGGCTTTGATCACAATTAGGCCAAACCCGCGTCAGCACATGAGGGTAGGCTAGCTCGTGTGGTCTAGAGGTGCTCCATGCCGTGCTGGCTGCTGGGGGTGCCGTGGGCTTCTTTGGGGGAGTTCGCTCTCCGCGGATCTTCGAGGAAAGCCCAGGGAGAGGTACCACACGGATGTTCAGTAAGGGGGTTCTTGTGTCTGGTCTACTGAGCCTCTTGTGGGTCTTAGCTTGCAAAATTACGAGCAGTAAACATAGCGACAAGGTATACATTGGATCTCACATAAAAACTAAGACTCTTAATTACTATTATTGCCACTATTGCCACTATTGCCACTATTGCCACAATTAGCACTTTACTACTATTATTGATAATATTCTTTTCTTTTTTACTGCTGTTTTTGTTGTTATTAATACAAGTATAGTTATTTTTACTCCTCCTCCTCCTCCTCCGCCTCCTACTACTACTACTACTACTACTACTACTACTACTCCTACTGCTACTACCACTACCACCACTACTACTACTACTACTACTACTACTACTACTTCTTCTACCACCACAACTACCACGACTACCACGACTACCACGACTGCCACGATCACCGCGACTACCACGACTGCCACGACTACCGCGACTACCACGACTACCGCGACTACCACGACTACCACGACTACCACGACAACCACGACTACCACTCCCGCTCTCACTACCACTCGCACTGCTGCTGCCGCTGCTACTACTACTACTACTACTACTATTACTACTACTACTACTACTACTACTACTACTCTAAAGATTAATATGCCGACTAGTACGAGTACTAGCACTGGTACTAGGTCCTGGTTTTCCTCGTTGCTTGCTTCGATTGTTTGGGATCTTAGTGAGTGAATCAGAGCTGCCTTGGAACATCTTGGAGCAAGGAGGTATGCCCACATGCCGCATGCCCGATCGGGGATGCCGAGCTAGATGTGCACACCGACGCTAGCCCCAACTTCTGCCTTCTGACTGCGCAGGACATCCGACGACTGCAGCCGACCTTCCTCTTGGGTACAGCCAGTCTCTTCAGGCTGCTGGGGGCACTGCCCTCCAGGGCAGCGGGCTCCGAATCTGTGTCTGCCAGATTCAGGGGTGTACATCGAACAGAACAATCGTTGGAGATTCTATCATGTCTGCGAGATGCTTCCAGTCATTCGAACCACACTCACAGGCCCTGCCGGCCTGACCGTCGAGAAAGCTGACCTGTGCTAGTAGCCTTCAGCACATTTTCGTCCATCACTGGTTGAGACTTAAGAGTACCAACTCCGAGAAGCAGGAGGCAGATCACCCGGCTGCAGACGAAGCACGTCGGCATGCTTGGAAATTTGAGCGGCCTGGCAAGACAGACGCGGGGTTTCGGAAAAGGCCTTGGGTGACCTGGATCTTCAGTGATCTTCAGCTACCATGAGGCTGCAGGGCAAGTATCGGATGCTGTTTAAGCGAGGTTGAGAGACTTGGTGGGTGGACATGACTTTCTGCTCAGATGTGTACAAGACACTGACAGCGGCAACGGCAGCCGCTTTCTGAGCCCTAGGCTCAATGTTCTTGAACTGTAACCGAGTCTTTGCCGTGACCGGAACAGGATGTCCGTAATGGGAACCCGTAACAGCTTGGTTTTCCTGGGACAGTTCCTGCTATGCTCCCGGTGCAGTTCCTGTTTCTACTGGCCCTCGTTTCCGTTACGACCCCCTGTTACTCCCCGCACCCTGACCCCAACTAGACTTTCTGGCATCAGAAGAAACATGGACGAAACAAGTTTTGCCCAGAAGCCAGAAGGCCCGCACTCCAGAACTTGCAAGCATCTTGAGCGAACCTGAGCCCAGGCTACCAACTGCAGCGCTGGGCGCTCAGCCGCTGTCGGGTGGACTCCGAGCTTCCGGACATGGAAGGCAACGATCCGCTGGGGTTGAGGCGTTTGGTGTGCACTGCTCAGTGCAGGCATTGCGGACTGCAGGATACTTGCTGGCGGGACTAGGCATTGCAGGAATGTGTGCGGGTTTGTATCGACATCATCTCATCACCGTGGGTCCTGAAGAAGGCCACGACACGGACGCGAGTCGTAGCATCTGTCAAACTTGTGCCGGAAGCTTGGTCCAACGCATGTACGGTGTGCACTATGGGGTCGCTGCTGCTGTTGCTGTTGATGGAGCTGGCAGTGCTGGTAGCGGCCGGTGCTGCTGGCCGTGAATAAAGAAGACGACGTAGGTTGCAGACTTTCACATGAACGCGCTAGAGCCTTTTTGGGTTTCCCGAATCTGAAATCTCTGTGGGGAAAGGCCGTGGCAAACTTCACAAGGTCACAAGGTCCAAACGCTTAGGGAAGGTAATTATCTAAGGAATCAGGGCTTAGACCGACGAGTTTTGACAAATGGTTTCGGACGGAGAGTTTCAGATCATGTTGAAGCCGCAGTCTGTGAGGGCCTTGCTCCTTCTTGGTTTGTTTGCGCGTCGGATCGGTTCCTGCAGCCTACCTTGACCAACTTGTGACCCTCCGTTACGCCGTTACGAAGCGACGAATGTGGATGGAATCTGCGGGTGTGCTGACGGAGCGATGTTCGAAACTTCAGGCTAGAGTGTGGGGAAAAAGCTGCGTGCTTGAGCTCCAAAATCCCCAGCCGCCCAAGCCCGAAGGCCAGCTCACGGGCAGCGACCTGCCGAGTGCGAGTTTTATGCAGATGGTGGCGAAGTGGTGTCTGACGAAGCCCCTCAGCCACTGGCTGAACAAGCCCTTTGCCGCGGCCTTGGTACTGAAACTCCACCGTTCTCCTAGGCCAGTCAATACTTGCTGCGAGATTGGGAGTGGCAGTTAGAGCAGAACAGGCCGACGATCCTCATGTGCTTGAGACATATGCGAGAAGCTGCTGCCGGCGGTTCATGTAGCGATTTCTGCTTAGCCCCGAAGCCTGTTGAGGTCATCCCTCGCCACGTGCTGCTGGGCTCCAAGACGAGGCTCCGCTTCGTGCTGGCGCTATGTGACTTGGCTTGGAGGTAGCTCGTACAGGGACCGAAACTTGATGTTGCGGGCTAAGCGACAACCAAGGTGGTGCTGGCACCACAGCCTTGCCGCCGGTTTCCTGGCAGCCAAACGGGAGGGAAGTGATGGGCTTGCGATCGTACTTCCATTGTTGGGCCTTTGCATTTTTGCAGGTTGGAACGTCCCTTCAGACTGCCACTGCAGGACCGCTGTCTTTGGATGAGGCTACTTCTTGGCTGCCCCGTGCTGAAGAGCTTCGTCTCGGTGGAGGCGCCTTTGAGTTCCCACATCGGTGAACGTACGCCGCGCTGCGCCGTGTTGGTACAACGAACATGCCAGACTCAGACTCGGGTCAGACCCTCCAGTCCTGAACTTCCTACACCTCAGTACAAGCCTAGGGCCCTTCTGCACGCTGCGAAGGCTGGTGGCATGGTCACCTTGGGTGAGGCTCCCTACTACGGGGACACCTTCCAGGCAGGAGGGTTGGGCCGCATACAAACACATGAACAGGAACGACACATCTCTAAGAGAACCCACTGTCACCGACGTTTTGTACAGGAGGGGGGCGGGGAACAGCTTTACGTTTTCCCATTGTCAGCAGCGGTGGTGGCGAAAAAGAGACTCTGAGGCCTTTTCCGTCGGGCGAGAACTGCCAGGGGTGGAGATGCTCGGTCGCTTTTGGGTTTGCCTTTGATTGTCCATCACGCTTTTTTGAAGCCTCCAGAACCTTAATGACTGCTCCAGTCCACAAGGATGTCGAGCATCCAAGGATTGAGATGCTGAAGCTCAACCTCCCGGCTACTTGGCTTCGGAGTTTGCCAGACCGTGGGCATTTTGATTCAACATTGACCCAGACTCCGTTCCGAAAGATTTGATCTCATTGCGCTACATCTCATGCACCGCAATGCACCGCACATCTCTTCATTGTGTAGCAACCTCCAGACTCGCAAAAGAAAGCATGTACAAACAAACAAAGCAAGCGACGCAGATCAAACAACACTTTTGAATTGTTTCGCGCATCTCAAACCCCAAGTCAGGGAGAGGAACCATGACGAATGACAGTCAGTCTTGTGGACTCTTGAGAAGCTAAGGAGGATTTTCCTCCGCTCAGCGTGCTCGGTTCTCATGAGGTGGGTTTTCCCAAGTGAGTGGGCGAGAGCAGCTCCCAAACACGGTGGCTTGCAAGAGAGCAGAAGTTTCCTGGGAAGTGTGTCCTGTAGAGTCGCATTGGAGGCTTTGCACTGTCTCTCGTCAGAACTAGATCCACCCAAGCATGATCATGGGGAGATCCCGTGTCGCAGGCAAACATCGAGCTGGGCACTTTGAAAGTCAAGGGCCTTGCCACAGAGGAGGCCAAGGGGCCAAGGGATTTTGATGAAACCAATTAAACTAGGTAAAGTCGCTTGTCTCCGAGTTCTTTCAGCGTACGAGCCGGGACTCTGCATTGCAGACCCAGTCGGGTATCTGACATTCGGGGTGTGTCGAGGTTGAACACGTCCGGGTGACCATGCCTTCATGTCCTTGGCCAGATTTTTGGGGACTTTGCAATTCTTGCCCAGGCCAAAGTGGGCATTGTGGTTGGCCGGCGCGATCAAGACCTGTTTGTCTATGGTCGCCTAGTGTCCCTGCAGGACCAGCTACCCGGTTTTTATTCCATCGGTTCCGAGCTACAAAGTTTTCCTGTCCAGCTCAGTCATGGCCGTCTATGCTTCAGTAAGCGGAGTCAGGCGAGGTCATTTCGACTTCGGGGTACTCGTGGTTTCCCTCAATATCATCAGGATTTGCAGTGACCGAAAGCGCGAACTGCTGGGTCGCAGGAGTCTTCCCTGAAGCGGGGTGCTCTCTGCGAGGCGTTGGAGCAGCTCCTGCTCCAGGCCTCCAGTCAAGCCTACACTTGGGGGCTGCCTTTTGATAAGAGAGATGTATCTTGAAGCTGTGTCGCAGAGAGAAATGGGCAATAGAGACGACAGTCGTCAGCAGCACTCACCCATTCCAGTCGTTCAGAAGCCGTTTTTCCTGTCTCTTCAGGTCACTGGCCCTTGGCTGATGCAACTCCTTTTGGTGGCGAAGCCACAGGGAGTTGTCGGCGTGGCTGCCGTGCGCCTTGAGGAGGTTTGGAGGCACGTCCCCTCTCCCAACTCGGAAAGCGGGTTTATCGACAAACTGGTGGGTTGGCGAATCGCCGAAAGTATGCCTTTTGCCGCGGGAGTCCACTCCATGGAACAGGTCGTCCTACTTTGCGAAGATACACGCTCTAACTCCGAATGTCTCAGCCAGTCCAGTTTCTTCAAAGCACGTACATTCGACTTGACAACCCTCAACGTTTGACAGCAGTAAAACCTAGGGTAGACGTGAACCGCTCCCGGTCTCACCACTGCCTCCTTACTCTGAAGGCTGGCGAGATTCTGGAGCATCGACCGGGCTTCGAGCAGTGAGGATATGCTTTTGTGGGGATGCTGTGGGGTAGACGACCAACAACGAGGTCAGCCTTAAGACTTTGCGATAAGTCCGATAAGTACGAGTATTGGCTTCGTGTGGTTAGGTCTTTGAAGCGCTTTGATAAGAGCTTTGGCACACTCGAGAACCTCAGTTTCCAGACTGTTGGCACTTTTTTGGTTCGGAGCGGTGAAATTAAAGATCCTTCTGATGGGAAACGTTTTTGCCTCTGTAAGTCTAGGTGGCCCTTGTTTCGAATGAGACATAGACACTCGCAGTGGAAGAGCGGACGCCTGAACGGCTGCGAACTCGGCAGTGTAGTTGGCGATTCTCAGCCTGCTGTCAACCAGGACCTCTGCAGAGACCAGCGTGTCATCAGTGTTTGCCTCCGTGAGCTCCACAAGCACGCCGCAAAGCCAGACTCCCAGTCCCAGATGGATGTTATCAGGTGTTGCCGCTCAAATCTTTCAGCCATCTGCTAGCCTGGTAGCTCTGGCATTCTGAGGCAACTTCTTTCCCTCTTCCTTGGTTTTCTTCCCGAAAACTGACTGAGGTTCGGCTTTTCTGATGCGGAGATGCCCCGCGCCTTGCGCCTTCAGGCCACGCCCTTCTCGTTGGAGGCCCGGAGAGCGGCAGAGTTTTCCAGAAGGGAAGGGCTTTTTTGTGGCCTTCGCCGGTAAAACGAGGAGATTTCAGGATGCATCCTGCGCCAGGCGGGTCTCCAGACGCCGACCTTCCAACTGCGGCGCGATCAGCTCCCCGCCTTTCGGAGTTTAGGCGTAAAGAGGCGCGCTCTACTGTTTCGGTTAAGGCCTCCCGCCCAAGCTGCTGTAGGAGGACAGTCTGTGGACGAGCCAACCACCTTTAATCGTGCCTTAACCCGTACGCTGGACCCTAGCGGGCTTCGGATGTCAGGCTGGTAAGGGGTCACGGTTGGACGTCGAACGAACTCGCAGATGTATCTCCAAGTTCCACGGGACTCAGGCCAAGTTTCCCAAGCCTTCGTTGTATACCGAGGCTCCTTCCGCGCGTCTCGCATGTCATCGAGGAGCTCTATGTGCCTTCGCGGCATCTTCGGAGAGAGGGTCTATGCTCGAGGTAGGCGTTGAATGCAGTTGAGAAAGATTTCAACTCTACCCGTATTGACGAGTGGCTACACGCATCAGGACTGCAAGCACCATCCGAACATGAGGGTAGCAAACGAGTGGGCCCGAGGATAGCTTGGATGGCTCTCCGGAGTCGCAGAAGGCCGAGCGGTTGCATCGAAATGTATTGCAAGCTTCCGAAGCTTCAGTTGAAGGCTTGTGAGTTCAGTTCATACCTCTATGGATAGCAACAGGCCCCGCCAGCACAAAGCAGGACTTCATCGTCGAGCGCAAGAAGAGGGGCAGCTTCTTCAGCAAGAAGAAGCAGCTTGGCTGGATCTACAAGCCTTGCTGGTTTTCTCTTCAGCCTTCGCTTCCGAAGTCATCCATGCACAACAGTATACCAAGATCACTTAAATAGTGCGATGCTTATTGCTTGATGGGTGACGAGCAGTCCGGCGTGTTGTAAGGTCGTTTCCAACGCTGGAGTGGCTTTGAAGGCGCCATCCGGCACGAAGCTACTGAGTCCGAGAAATCCTGCATAGTCCATGGAGCTAATCTCGAATGGCTCCGCCAGCAGGCAGTGTCAGCGACGAGGCGGCGGATCCTTGGATGAGTTGCGGTAGTTGATGTCCCTGCTCGGCTTTTGAAGGCTTGATCTCGTGTGAACACGCAGCAGTCTTGCCGGGAGAGCTCCTGCACGCTCTGTGAAGTGCTTTATCGGCTGTGCCGTCTGAAGCTGGCATCGCCCCCAAGTTTGTTACGGTCATTCCTTCCGACGCTCTCTGAGAGGAGTTACCAGCTTTTTCCGAGCTTCCCGATTCGGCGGTCACCAGTCGGGCATCTGAAGCCCTTCTGTTGGCTGGACACCCATCCGCGCGGAATCCGGGAGACTGGACGTGGTCATTGTTTGCCGCCGACTCATTCTCCAAAGTGGGAAGAATGCATTTGCTGGCATGCTTGCGGCAAAGAGTTTCTTGCATCGTACTCCCTGACGAAGCCTCGCAACCGTTGCGACTTGTTCAGTATGTCATGAGCTTCCGGGATGTCTTTTCAGCTCGCCGTGTTGCCATCGTTCTTCAGGTTTTCAGCGACCGTCAGCCCGCTATTTATCCTCGTGCGGAAGCTTAGACGGCGGAAGCTTGGCAGTTTCCTGTCCGTTTCCTCGCATGTGCTGAGGCTTCAAACTGGCTATGCCTTTCCCGCAGGGGGCTTCGCAGCAAACGGCGCTGCCTCTCCGGCACGACAGGAGCTTCGCCTGACTTGTGGCACAGCGTGACAATCAACACGCAGCGGGTCTGTCCGCAAGGACGTTCCTTTCTGGCTATCCAGTCCGACAGCCATTCCTAGTGCCACAGGTGCCTTGCTTCGGGGTTGGTTTCTGGCTTGATGGTGCTGAGTAGTGCGAGTGGCACGGTGTGCCTGTGATGCCACAGCCAGAGGGTGTACATGAATATGTCTAACAGGGAAAGCTGATCAGAGTGCAGAGAACATTGGGCAGGAGGAGATTCGCATCTTCAAATCTCGGTCCTCGGTTTGAAGCGGCACAGGGCTTGTCCGGGCAAACGAGGAAAATCAGGGTGCCTAGCCATCCGAATAGAATCGTCTTATGTTTCTCTAAGCAGAGACTAGCCAGGATGCCGAGCACATCCGCATTGAGCGGGCAAAGATCGCGCCGCCTGACACCAAGGCATGTCTACATGCAGCTTTGGCTTTGGCGTGGGAGGCTATGTTTGGAATTATGGCCGTGTTGCGCTTAGTTGCCGGTGGGCTAAGACTGAGATTGCATTGTGAAGCCCGTTTCTGGCTCGAGCATGTCCATGGAACGCTGTACAGTGACATGAGAAGCAACATGCAAGCTCGGGCACGAAACAGATGCATGCAGAAGGATCACTCGATGCTTAAAGACGGACTCTTGTGATCGAACATTACGCGGACTCGATTGCATGTTCGACAACGTTTGCATTTCAATTAGCTCAATGAGCCACTGGCTGGGCCAATGGCAGCTTTGGTTGGTATCTTGTCGGAGACGGTCCACCGATTCTGTGATCTGTACAGACCGGGGCTGAACCGTGCGAATCAGCAGTCGGCCAATGGGCTGAGGCTACCTTTGTGCCGCAGTGGCCGTGCTTTTCTTTGGAAGCAATTTCGCAGTCGATGCCTTACCTGGCTTGGTCTTGCATGGCGCACTTTGACAACATACACGGCCTGAACCCTTGTCGGGATCCAGTTGCATGGCAATGGATTGCATCATAGTGGGGCAAACCCATTGTCTGTGCTCTTCTATGTATGCATAGGTATATCGGTACATCACATCTATATCTATCTGGTACCCCCCATGGACCAAGCTGTGAGTGGAGCTCGTTAGTGTTACTCGGTATTCATGAGAATGTCTGCTCCCATTTTTAGAACTTGTCAAAACTAAACTCAGACAATCTAGTGATATGGTTTCGACCTCCCAACTAGAAAAAACATCTTAAAACTCCAAAGCCTACGAAGCCCAGTCTCGGATTCTGGAAATCCAAAAATTCAACAGTTGCAAAACTCAAACACAATCGGAGGAGAAGTCTTGCAAGTTCGGATTTCCGAAACTCCAAAAATTGGTCTCGTAAGTTTTGGATTTTAAATTGAACTTTTGGAGTTATGGAGCTTATGGCTTTTTCTCTCAGTTAAGTCCCGACCCGTGAACCTCCTGAGGCGGGTGCCCTGCCTTTCTTTCAGGTTTTTCCTTGATTTCTGGGCCAGCAAGGGCGATGCCGAAAGCTGCCCATCGACAGGTGTGATGCCCTTCCTTCGGCTGTTTTTCACTCGCTGAGCTTGACTTGGAGTTGCCTCCGCATTCTTGGTAGCGAATTCTGTGCATCCCTCCCTGGGTGCATATAGCCCTAGGACTGGGTTCCCCAGGCCAGGGCTTCGAACCGGGGTTTGCGCAGCCACCACAGTTCCCTTCCCCGGCCCCTCTGCATGGCTTGGTGTTGCGGCTGCTCCACTTCCGTTGGCCCTCCCTGCTTTGATTCTGCTGGCCCTGACTTGCCATGGTTGCGTAACGGAATTTACCTTACTTTGGATGGGGCTCAAAAGCTTGTGAAGATCTGCCTTCAGGAACTGCAAGCCATCAAGGCACACCTCTGACTCACTCTCTCACTCTCTCTCTCCCTCGCGCATACTCAAGGATCCCTTTGAAACGCCTTTAAATTTCTTGCTTGAAGTTGCAGTTTTTCGGGAGCTTATCTGGTAACTTACACGTGTTTGAATGCTCGAATAGTGGCTAAGTCGTGTTCCAGCGTTTATCCAACATGAAATGAATTCCAAATCCAATGGGTCAACATCTGCGTAAAAGCTAGTACATACGAAACATGCCGTCTATGTTTAAATGTCATAGTTTAATAGCTGGCGTACATGTTCGCAAGTTCGTTTGATACTTCTGATTTCTGTGTTGAGTGGTATGTGTAACGGAAAGTAAAAGTGAATCAGGATTCGTTTAGGAGTTTCTTGTAATATTTGATGTTCACAGAAAGCTCGTCCAACACTTCATGTTCAAATATCTAACATCCAGTCCCTCGGCATTTGCACACAAGGACATGCTAAAGCAACTAGTATGTAACGGACGTTCAATCAACACTTAGTCATATATATATATATATATCGCAGACATTTCGCAGAATTTCAAACAAAACGCAGTTAGCGGAATCAGAAGCAATGCAAATGTTAGATCAACTGCAAATATAATGCATACTTCAATCATATATGTCTGAGCATCTAACCTGTACTTTTCGATTGCTCAGGTGCTTTTCTTTGTACAGATTTGTCGTTATCTGCAAGATTACTATTGAACGAATATGTGCTCAGCGTACAACCTTTACATAATGTTCATCTGCTTCATAATTTCCAATCCTTAAACGCATGTTCGTTCAATACCTGAGGTTCAGTGCTGAGATGCAACTATGTCTCCTTGCCATGGTAACCACCAGGAGAAGCTTTCAATTGGCCTCGCATTTTCATGTCAGCACAAAGTTTGATCAACGTTTCGTTGCAAAAAACTCCAGGTCCACCTGACAGCAAACGATTGTTCAACCATATTCGAGCACTGAATTGCTACCGCAATATAGCTGCTTGTCAACCAGCTTCAGGCTAACACTCCACTTAAACTATACCATATTTGGCAAAATGTGTCACTCATGTCTTATGACTGTTTCACCAGTATGTAAAAAGGAGACAAGCATTATTGAGGTTATGCATATAACATCTTATGATTCAGTCAGAGGAGGTTCGCACTGCTTTTTGCCTCTTCATGATTGAAACACGTCGTAGTTATTCATTGAAAATGAATTGGGACTTAAATGCTGCGTGAGTTTGGTCTCATATGTAGTACTGCAATGACAAGATGTTACAGTACTACTTGTAGGTGAACGTCAGACGTTTATGAATATGTGTTCGTTGGTTAACTGAGCACGCTTGTATATGAGACAAAGCACTATCAAATGTTAAACAAACTCTGATCTAATATACACTGCATCTGAATTCTGACTGAAGCAACGACACACATGTCGTAACCGTTGTCCGAAAGTTAGAAAGCCGGGACTGGTAACTCCTACAGACGTGCGTCACATGCGACGAGCAGTGTTTAAATAGGAGGCGAAACACTGTGAACTATTAAGCGAAGTAAAACAACAATTATCGTAGTTCCTGTTCGAATTTGAGATAGTAGGTTTTCTACTGGTAAATTGTTCATACGGTCGTCACATGATCACTTAAGGACAGCTGTCAATGCACATATGTGAGACTTTGTATGCCCTCTCGAAGCAGATAGGTGTTCGGAGTCTTTTTACATGGCCAGCAGAATACACTGCAGGCTGAGCGGTTTGTCCGTGGGGGGGGGGGGGGGGGGGTGGCTAGCATCTACATCTCTATCTATACCTATATCCATACGGTCCGGCACACCTCCGGTTTCCTGAATGGCATTTAGTACATACTTCCAGCAGCATCATGTGTCCTTGTCGTTTATATCTGCTTATGCACTTCTTGGTTCACCTGTTCAGATGTCCTGTCCGTTCCTATGGTGATGTTGCGTACCGCCTACAGTGACTACGACTCCTGTCCGACCTTCTTCGCGGAGTCTTTCACCGGTGGCGGTGCGGACAACCTGCTGTGATTCTCTTTCTCCGCATCATTTGCACTGCGCTCAATCTGCTCCGTCGTACTGTTGGACACAACGGCAAGGGTCATGTTGTTGCAAACTTTTCTTCTTTACCGGAGTGCTGCTTCTTTGCTTGCCAATCCGGACACTTCTAACTGCAGAAGAAAGCAGTGGACACACACACACATATATATATATATGTCTGTTTTGTTTATGTATATATATATATATAGATATATGTCTAGCATATGTGTATGTATATGTATATGTATTTGCATATGTTTTTGTATATGTACGTGTATATGTAACAATGTATCTGTATATGTATGTTTGTTTCTGTGCTTAGTATATGCATATACATATGCATCTCATACGCAATGGCAAGGTTAGACGGTCCTGCTGTCCAGCATACAAAACATTCAGGCTACCGACGACAGAATCCCAACTTCAAGCTTCCCAAACCGTTTCCCATGAACAGAAGATGCCCGGTGCCTTCTGTGTGTGTTGCTCCAGGTAGTCGCGAAGTACGATGCTGGTGATGGAATGTTTTTTCAACTTGTGCAGCTTGGCCTCAGATTGTGGTGAAGGTGTCCCTGGGTTTTCTCGGTCAAGTCCTTGCCTTGTGCACGAAGGCTCTGCCTCGGGATATGGTTCACTGGCCTTGTCGTCCTGCTGTTGCGAAGCCATCCGACCTTCTATCCCGTGGCTGCTCGGGACGCATGCAGAAAATGCAAGCGGTAGGAAGCCTGAGAGCGCCAAGATGTTGTATCACCACGATGGGTTAGGGACACTCTGCTTCTCCAAGTGAGGCCATGACAGGAGGCGTTCTGTGGTGCTCCGGTAACTGCCTCACTGTGTACATCATCAAGCAGATTGGATTGGGCCCAGGAGTGTGGCGCCAGAAGCCTTGTCATGCCCACGAAACTTGTTTATTTTTTCTCCTGTGACTTCGAGAGGACTGGTAACGTGGGGCACAGCAGCTCTCATCATCGGCTGGGTCACGGGATTCTTTGGCCTCTTCGGTTTGCCCAGCGAGACCAGACTGCAAGCTGGGTTTTAACCTAGAGTGCAGTCTGTGTGCTCTCAGTTTGCTCTTGACGATTAGTCGTATGGAGTCAGAGTTGATACAGAATTTTGGGCCGAGCACCTGTGATCATCCCACAGCTTGAAGTTAAACTGCATTGCAAGTGCTGTTGCCCACGCGCATCGCATGTTTTCCGTATGAGCCGGGCTATAAATTCCGTATCCTGACGGGTTGCAAGAGCCTCTTGAAAAAGAAGGAGCAGAGCTGCCTGGAGAAGCCATGGCTCAATGTTGTTGGTCACAACCTTACGGAGCTCATGCTTTTGCTGCTCTTCCAGAACAGTTGTCTACTGCAATAGCTTCGCGCTCGGCCAGCTATCAGACTTCCCTCACGATCCCTCTGAGGCGTTGTGCTTGCGATGTGCGCGCTCGCGGTGAGCACGCTCGTGAGGCAGGACGACTGCGCTCCTAGCACGAGTTGAACATGGTCTTTAGTGCCCAACTTTCTACATGATGTTTCTGCCGATCAATCCTTCGATCATTCACCTGGATTGAGTAGTCTAGGGCTTGGACAGTGAGCAGACAGACAGTCTGCTCTTACATGTCTCGCCTGCAGACTTGTCATCTCTCCTCCAGCCAAGCAAGAACACTCGCAACATACAGCTGACGACATGTGCAGGAAATGCATTAGACGCAACTGGCAGGAAGAGTGTTCCCGAAAAGCCGCTGCTAATCGATGCTGGACGGGTGCCACCAACGATCAGCGAGGACTGTTCGACTCGCCACTGGCAGCCCTCAGAAGATACTGTGTCAGCAACCTCTTGAGCTGGAAGAGACATTCTTGGCATGGTACACCTCAAGCCCGATGAGAAAACCGTTGAACAGTGTAGCAGACTGATGAACTGCAATGCTGAGAGACTAGGTTACTGCAAATCATGCTGTCGAGCTTTTGCTTGCTGGTTTCCCGCTATCTTTGAGCCTTGTTGAATTTGAGGTTATCGTTTGTCGCCTCCCGCAAGATGTGCCTCACTCTATTCATCGGGACCGCGGAAGGGACCCTAAACCCAAACCTGAGCTGTTAAACCCCAAACGACGCATGCCCAAGGGAGACGAGCCGATGCCCTCAACAGATACTCCTGATGTTCGTCCAGGATGTCGAAGAAAGCCCAGCGAGGGCTTCTGCTGGTCGAGCCAAGGCCCAACACCACTGTTTTTGTTTTCCGGTGCTCAGGTATGCCAAAGATCTCAAAATGAACTCGAATAGCACTCTACTACTCGGAATGTTTTGGACCATGAGGCGCCAGGATCATTAGGTCGAGCGCGGGGCTGGGCAACACAATTGCCATGAACAAACACAGAAATGCATATGTGAATACACACATACATGCAAGCAACATATTATGTATTTGTATATGCATATAATATGTGTATGTACATACGTAAGTATGCATGCTAAGATCAGGACATACCACAAGACTAGATTTAGGCTTTCCGAGGATTTAGTCTTCGATCCCGGCCAGCATTGAAATTCAACGACCCCATCCATCCTCAATCAGGTTCCGTCAGTGATCATTGCGTATCCCGGGAGAATGCTTTATCTCGTGTCATTCTTTATCCCCCCCGTGTTCCAGGATCCCTAGTGTTGCACCACAGAGGTTGTAGGTTACAAATTTGCTGTTTAGGTGATCTGCAAGATCGCAGCTGCAGTCCTCCTGCCTGTAGCAATGGCAATGTCCAGGTTGCATCGTCCATGGAGGGTTTGTTTTTTTTTTTTCGGAGTGTCTGATCATTTCAAGGGTTTCATCATCATTCTCACAACATTCGCAACCCAACACTCCGACGTCTTGGGTTATCGTAGACGAGCGATTTGCGGACAGGGCGTGTTGGCCAGCTTGGTGGCCGGAACCTGCCTCGCGGCAGGAGTGGGAAAGCGATTGTCAGATGGGGTTGTCGAGCCCCTGTGGACTTGTGAGGATTGAAGCAGTTCGGCGGCCTTTTCAGACGCTAGTGCAACACCACGTTTAGACGCTGCATCACTCAAGATCACAGGATTAAGTCAGACTTTCGTTTTGAGGTTCCTCGTGCGACCGCATGTGACGCCTGTGTTCCGAGGCTACGGTCTCAACTTCCTGCCGTCCACATGGATCCAGTCACTTGATGTCACTTGTACTTGTACATGTTTGAATATGTTCTGGTGTTCTATTCTGAACTGTGCTTGGAAGTAAAAGCCATCAAGGTTGCGTGAATCACCACCAGAGTTCGGGAAGTGTCAGGAACCATGTTGCTGGAGCATCCCAAGACGGACTGGACTATGCAAGGGACTCAGTTGCAGGAGGCAGTGGCAGCAACAGCATTGGCTGCTGAGCACAACCGGCGATCGTAGCTTGCATCCAGTTTTCATGCTGACCTAAAAGCCATCTCTGAGAGTATCCTGAAGAGTGCATGCACAGCTATCGCAAGCATTGCTAGCTGCATGCTACGTATGCAGTGGACCAGAGCCTGAGGTGTTCAACCAGACCGGTGCTCAGTGTAATTTGCGACCTTTGCTTTGAATGCCAGACATGCCGGACTTGGGATTCCAGCTGCCCGCTCAACGCTTTGTTCAAAGAGCCTGAGAGCGCTCCGGAGCTCTGATTTCTTTGCCAGTCCNNAAAAAAAAAAAAAAAGTTAATGCCGAACAGGCCTAAACGGCCTGGCCTAATCCCCTATCCCCCTTCCGGCATCTTTGCCTCAAGGTTTTGCGGCATCATGGCTGCCTCCATAGTGCATCCCGACGCTTGAGATAAACAGTGGAGGCTTGTTGACTGTGCATGGTTCGAAGATGTTGTATTCCTGGCACACCCACGTGCAGATTGAAAGTTCTACCAGCCAGCGACTTTGTGGCCCAGGCTAGCAAAGGACTTGTTTCCCTTTTGCCTGCAGTACGAGGTACTTCCTGATCTACTGCGGCTGGAAGAACAACCGTCCACAGATCAACCCCGAGATCATGCTTCCCGGGTTCATTTCGGGAGCCTTGGAGAACGACATTGGCAGCGTTGTATGGGCTAAGTTTGTGCAAGCACGGTGGTCCGAGCCAGTCCTTTGGTGTTGATTCATGTCACCTAGATTCCTTGATGAGACGGTTGGTGAGCCTTCTTGGCATGTGTTTGTTCCCTTAACACAGTGTCGGAGTGTGTGGGATGTGAATCCCGTGCAAGCGCAAGTCAACATCGATGGCACTGCTCAGGAGTCATGTGGGCCATAGCACAATCCTGCTGGTTCGTTGCAAACGTCTCCGGGCGGCACAGAGCCCACTCACGCAGGCCCTGAGAAAACCCGAACTACGAACCAGGATTGATTCCCGAAAATGATCTTTCAAAACAAGGCTAGATCCGGAAGAGGGCCGCCTAAACCCGACCCAGCCTTGAAGGTTGACCTGGGGTATGCAGCGGCTTTCCCCATCATATTGATCGGCCCTGGCTTGGTTGGATCCTTATGGTCGGTGTTCCTCTTCAAGGTCTCGCTGCACAGCACCCGGGGTTTTGGGCTGGTGTATGCATGAGTAAAGCCTTGAAGAGCTTGCGCCGGCTGCTTTCAGTCTAGTGAGTCCAGTGCATCGTGAAGAAGCAAGTAGTAGCAGGCAAGGCACTGCAATACTGGCACGCAGGACATTTGTGGACTTCGGCGTCTTTGCTGAACAGTTGTGACGGGCTCTCTTGCCCGGAGACTTTCCTTCTCCTTGCATTGGTTTAACTTGGTGACTCCATCGACACGGCCAACCAAAAGCTCCGAACCGAAACTCGCGAAATGTGACATTGAGGAATCATCTTCTTCTGGCGGGCTACTTTGTGCTGGCCGCAGCTTCCTGTGCTTGCATCGTCGCCTCGCGGAAGAGTGGCGGCAGCTCGGCAGAAAAGAGTTTGTCTAGCCGGTAGACTTGAGTTGTGGGCATTCGTTTTTCCTTGCACGCCTTGGGCTTTTGTCGACCGCATGCCGTCGAGGCGCATGCGGATGACCCCATTATTGGCAGCTGTTCCAGGAGGCAAGCAAGCGATCAAAGCTCGTTTTGCATCGTGACAGTATGAATCCTTTGCTTGGATGTTGTATGCAGACATCCGGTCTGAGATATTTTCGGTATGGGACCGAGCAGCGGCAGAAGCTGATTTGCGCATATTTGTGCAAGTAAAGGCCGCGAAGACCGCAAAGGGAGTGGAGACACAGACAGCGCATCGAGCAGCTGCAGCCACAGCCACAGCCAAGCTGCTCTGTTTGGAGGCCATCCAGATGTGCGGGAAGTGCGGCCTGAGCAGCCTGAGCAGCTTCGTCATAAGTCCGCCAGGTTTGAGGTCACAGAGGAATTTGCGCTTGGTAGTCCTGATGCCTGTGTTTGACTGCGTCGGGATGTCCTTGCTGGCATGCAGAGGAGGGAGGCATTTGATCTCCGCCAGTCGATCCATGTACTTTGCCCAAATGGGTGCTAGATTTGGGATCATCGGGGCCATGTGCAGAGTTTCAGCGTCGCAGGAAGAAAGTCGAGAACACACGAGACACGAACAGCCAGTTCCCAGCTGCAGCATGTCCAGGGTGGTGGTTTTTTGCAGCTTGTCCTTGGCAGGTGGTCCTCGTCATGACAGGAGGTGGCGGCCAAGACGTGCCGGGGGCTTGCAGAAATCGACGCGAACTTAAAACCATCATTCCCAGTCTCCGACAACACAAACCTTTGCACATGCCTCGGGGCGCAACGACGAGCCGCGCGACCATTTCAAAGCAAGGCCGTGGCCAGAACAGCTGGCGATGGAAGGCACCTGCTGGGGACAGGGCTTTGCGCTTTTGCATGCCAGATGGCGCTTGGACCGCATTCCTGAGTCCGACGCTGGAAGTTTCGAGTTTCAGATCAAGGACAACGGATGCGGATGCGAGGGCTCTGCGGGTGGCCCCCACATCTGGCAGGGGTCAACACTTTCCAACCATTGAACCCGATCCTGACGATTAGGATTCTTCGAGAAACCACGAGCGTTGGGCCCTTCACCAAGGACAAATGCGAAGCAAACACACCACGACAGCAAAACCTTCATTACCAGGCTCTTGTACCTTCCTTCTTCTTCGTCACCTATGAGATCGTTCTATTGTTAGCATGTTTGCCTTTGCCATTCCTTAAACTCCGTGAGATTGTAAAAGCCTAGACCCACAAATCCAGAAAACTGAATCCCAAATCCTGAACTTCCGTACTTCAACTTTCCACGATCATTCCGGAAAGCCTCCATCTCGAAAACGAAACCCAGAGCAAGGCCTGCGCAAAAGAGTGCAAACACTTGCATGTAGTCATGGGGCCCTGCGTCGACGTTTTGCAGGTATTGGCCGGCCTCTGCATGTGCTGGTTGTCACTGGCAGGCCACGAAGGGAAGCGAAGATGTGCCGTCACTCGCTGCGAAACCGTACTCCTCAAGACTGTTGGGTCAGACTTCAGCCTGTCTGCAACCTGCATAAACGGCGGTCTTCCGCATCACATTGCAAGTGGGTTACCAGGAACGAAGAGTTCAAGACTCGCCTGCAGCACGCTCTCACGAAGTCTGCCGAGTTCAATGATGGCCGTATCGTGCGCCGTGCATGGAGCATGTCATGCAACTCAGAATGACAGTAAGGTTTGATCGCAATCGGAGTGAAGCCCAGTGGCTGGGAAAAACTCAGATGAAGGGCCATTCCACGGTACGTTTCCGAGCCGGCCTCACCAATGTCTCGCCTACCATCCGACGATAGACCAGGCCCCCCAGGTCAGGGCTGTACTCGGAGGACAGCGGTCATCTCGGGGAGCACGGACTGGGAGTGCTTGTGCACTGGGGCAAGGGGGCTGTCGTTATCGGATCGCAGTTGTGCGATCATCTGCTCACAGCAGACGCGCGAGGGCTCGTGTGCGGCTCGCGGACGCGCTTGAAGGAAGGAAGGAGGGAAGGAAGGAAGGAAGGAAGGAAGGAAGGAAGGAAGGAAGGGAAACGGTGGAAGAAGACCACAGTGAGGGAGACTAGCCTATATTCACCCACGGATCTGCACCACCCTGTCGCTCAAGGAATCACGGAAGAGAGTGAGTGATGGCGAGTTCTTTGAAGCGCAGGAGGCGCTTTCAAAGATTACAGAACATCCTATTTTTCGTTGCAGTACCACTGCGAGATTTTGGCCAGTCGCTGCGTCCGGATGGGCGAAGGTTTTGTGGAGGTGGTTCTCAACTTGCAGATGCTACGGTTCTACGGACCGGGACGTCGCATTTTTGGTTACTGAATCTCGGATTCGATGTCAACTTGGATCTGGTAATGCTCTCGCGGAAAATGGAGCATCATTTCAAGTAAGTCGCAAACAATTCAAGCAAGCCCCTGCCCTGCAAGTTGCGAAAAGCCGCACACTTGCTGTCCTGCTGCCTTAACAAGATCCTCTTCGTTCACTTTCGTTGCGGCTGCTTCGCACAAGAAAAAGCGGTGACATGCTGCGTTTGTGCACACTTCGACAGCCGGGGGCCTCACCATCGGGCATTGCAAGATCGAACACCTGTAGCAACTTCTGCGTGAAGCCACAGAAATGTGAAAAAAGGATTGGAATGCAGAATGAACCTCACACGGCGGACTTCAAGGTGTATGCCTGCGGTGCTTGCTCCAAGATCAAGTGGCTCCAGTGTGTCGTAATTCCACCCGACCATTGCGACATCCGAAGACATAAACCGTTTGGTTAATATTTTTGAATGCAGCACGATCTGCTCATGCTTCGTCACAGACACCTCACTTGCGGGGGTTGGGGACCCAGGTTCGTGATTTTTGGAGTAGTCTTTGCGATGGGCCGCATGCCGCAAGCATGCGAAAGACAGGTACTCCAAGGAAACGATGCAAACGTAACCGTGGAAGTTGCTCAAGAGCCTGGGCATCAAGGAGGAGCTTGCAAAGCGTACTTTCCCGGCTCGAGGTGAATCATTTGAATACCAGCCTCCAGCAGTGTAGTCGCGAACTTCATATCGGAGCTTTTGCAAAGGTCTGCTAGAGACATGACTGCGAGGACCAAACGCGACCTACCTCAGCGCCGAGCGCTTGGTGCTGCTCATGGACATCGCCGATGCCATCATTACGAAGCCAGGCCCGACCCCACGGCCGAGTTGCAGCTAACGCACGTAACATTCATGTTGTACATGTATAGGGCTTTTTACTTCATTGCGGACCATCCCGCCCCGCCTCAACTGGCTCCAAGGGGGTGGGACAACGGCAGAGATCTCTTATCGAGGCCTGCCTGTTCAGCCCTCAGGCTGCTTGCATGACACGGAATCTGCGACATCGGCACTGCTAGAACAGGAGTCCTGTGTGTTGTCGGCTGAGTCGACTGTGCTGGGTTGGACATGTGAGTCGCAGTTCCCAAATTTATGGTTGCTAGATCGACGCTCTGAAATGTTTGCAGTTTCAACGAAGTGAGCTCGCCATGACTTGTGTGCTGTGCTGCCGGTATCATCTACCATTCAGGTGGCATCGAAGGAAGCACCGTCAGCATGCCCCATCCGGCTTCGTTGCGGCCTAGGCGGTGTTTGATGCAACACGCGGGCTCCTCCACTGGGAGGACGCCGTGCCAAGCCGTTGCGACTTATTTCTAAATCGAAGCTGCTGCTTCACTGCAGCATTGCAGGCTGCCAGGCTCAGTAGTCGGAGTTCCTCTCAGAATTACCTTGCTTTGCTGCTTTGCCTGAAGCTGGAGGAGTTCACAGTTCATGCTTTCGAGCAGCAAGGCTGGCTTGGGTCGGTCGCAGTCTTTCCTGGCCATGCTGCAGGTTGCCGGCAGGATACGCTCAGCATGCCCTTGCGCTTATCCTCCCCGCCAATTCGTATTTTTCAAGCAGGCCGTGGGGAGCGCTTCGTGTGGCCACAGCAGCTGGGACAGGTGCGCTTGCACCGCCTCCGCCGCGCGCTTGCGTGCCGTAAATAGGCTTAGCGGCCTGGCTTTCCTTCATAAAAAGTGCTCCCGACCCACGGACAGTTGATCTGATGTGTATCCATGCACGCCTTAGAGGAACCTCGCGCTTTCATCGGGCAGCCTGGAGCTAGTGATAGTGAGCAAGTGATCTCGAGAGGTTGCACGAGTCGAAGCATCCGTGATCTCGGAAATTTTCGCCGCCAGCAACATGAAAAGAACATATTCTGCATGGCAAGTTCAATCAGACCAGCGCCTAGAGCTACAACATCCAGGAATCCATGCAAGCCAAAGGGGAGAACCAAAGCTTTATCCATCCTGTCGCGTTTCTCTGCTTGTGACACAGGTCTTGTCCACAGCTCTGAAGCGGCCAAGATCGTCGTCGTTGGTTGAGGACAAGACCGGAGAAATCAAGAAGATTTGGAAGTAATCTTCAAGCCTTGGGCTTCTCCTGCTGCGTCGTCCTTCGTAAGTTTGGGCTCTGCCATAGTTGCGAGCAAAACTGGCAAGGACCCGGCAAATCCGGGCCATGTGCTCAACCCTGGGCAGCTCGGCAGGATTTGGAATTGTTGGTTACAGTGATTTGCAGATGCAGGTCGGGCCTGTAAAGAACACTTGCTCCTGCCCCAGCTCTTTCTGAAAGATGTTTCGCAGGCCCCGCATCGTTGCAGAAGCCGAGAAGCTCATGGCCGCTTGTTTGCAACAAAGCAGCCGTCAGGATGCACTTGAGGAAACCTGCTTGACTCGTGTGATTTAGGATGAACAGCTTTGAACAAGCTTCATGGACAGCTCGTGTTACAAGGGGGCAGAGTCTGGCATGGACGCAATCTTTCAGGAAGTTCCATGCCATCAATGCAAGCTCTTCTCGGACAATCCTGACAACACGTGAGAGCCTGTTCTCTGCTCTACAAGAACGTGCGCAAACCACTGGTCCGATTGCAGTTCGGGGCCCCGGATGAATTTTAATTATCAAACCCTAAATTCAGATATTTTAAATTGCCTGTATACGGGTGACGAAATGAATAGAGGAACGACGGCTTTTATTTATATCAAGATTATGCTTTTTCAAAAGAAAATTCCTTACGTTATATATTTATTTGAACTCTTTCTAAAGATTGAATTAGGTGCAGGCAGAAAACGAGATTTGGCTTATTTATAATTAGAGCTATTATAAAGAACAGAATGAGATTTCATTTATCTATGAAATTCATTGGGAGACAATAAGAAAAACATTATTTCGAGAAAAAATAAATAGTCGAAATTAATTAGAAATATTATTACATATAATCTTTATTCGATTTAATGATATTTCTAGCATATATAATTAATCGATTATATATATAAATATTAAGGAATTTTAATTTTAAATTAAAGGTCAGTAAGATGAATATTATAAGTAATATAATAAATTAGAAAATAAAGAACTAAAACTTAGAATTTAAATTTCATTGAATTAAGATGATTTTTGAGCATATATTATATCTAAGGTCGCGATTAGAAATTAATTTTATCTTGGCACTCTTAGTCTTTTAGTTATAGCGGCCGCGCTTGCGAAGGCCAAAACAAAGAAGAAATAAAAGGCGAGCTCCAAGACTAGACCAAAATATAATAAATTACCTCCGCTTCGATTGACGAAATCTATTATTAAGGGGGGCATCGATTCTGCTTTTCATATAGAAAATAAATTCTAAAGTAAAATAAAAAAATAATTTGATAATGAAGTCAAAGGAATTTAGCATGAAAAGATAAGAAGCAAAGGAATATTTCGAATAAGCGGGACAGACGATAATATGAATTTGGGATTCCGAATTAGTGAATAGATAACGATCTTTTGCTCCCGATTATAAGTCTAGAACCTCAATAAGAAATTATAGCCGATTAGAATATTTTCAGATTCCATAATATCGATAATATTATGAAAATCATGAGTAGTTCTAGCTAGATTCGAACTCGAAATCTCTTATATCGAAATCATCCATAGCTTTCGTAATAAATACGATCTCATTAAGCAGGTCAAAACTCAAAAATCTATATTTAATAATGGTGCGGAGATCAGAATTCTTAGCTTCCTATATATTCGATATGCAATTTTTATATATATATTAAAGCTGAAGAATTTATCTAATAGGATCTTTAAATTTCAGATTAAATTTCCGAGATTATTATCTAGATTATCAGATAGAAAATTTATAGAAAGATTTAAAATTAGAGAAGTAAATACTTTATCCTTACAGTAGCATAGAATTATAATAGAAATTATCAAAATTCTCAAGATAAATTAAAAAGAAAAATATAAATAAATTTGAAAATCAATGAGAATTTTATAATTATAGAAAAATAAAAATACTACGAGATTAATATCGAAAAAATATATAATATCTCAATACCTAAATTTCCTTCTATTCTTTTAAAAATACTAGAGTTGACCCGCTGTTTCCAGCAGCGATATTCAAGTGGATCATGCAGCTTGGCAATATTCCGGCAACGACAGCCCAAGTCTGAAAATTTGTAGAAAATTTAGAGCGCCAGATCTCAGCACGAAGGCGCAAATCTCGTATAGCGGCGCAGCTACGGACAAGTTGACATCGAATTCTTGCACGTAATTTTCCGGCCTCAAAGTCAATAATGGACACTTGGACATTTGATCATATATGTTAACATCGATTCATGGCACCAGAGGAAACCTGCGACTATTTATTTTTACGGCAGCCATCCCGAAGGCGAAGCCAAGCTTCAAGTGACAACCCCTTGCCTCAAATTTCATCCAGAGTGCCATGCCGAAGGCCGAGGGTAGAATTATAAGCAAGACGCAAGGTCTTTTGTGTAGCCTGGGATAGGCAGCAATAATATAGAAGTGCAATATCCATATACGTAATTTGTCGCCGACTGTAACCTGGCTGGATAGGAGCCAACGGCAATCATTAAATTGAGAATATTTCATATAAAGTATATTGTGTATGAAGAATTTGCCCTTCATAGAGCCCTGGGCTGAGATAATTATCAGCCAAAGTCCGATTATGACTACGATAAATAAAATCAGAAAAAATAAATAGAGAAATAGATAAATAGAGAGATAAATAGATAGACAGATAGAGAGAAATATAAATATATGGACGGACCAATAGATCGACACATAGATAAATAAATAATAATTTTTGAAACGCAAGCATTACTCCATAATATTATATGAGAAAGCCCCTATAATCGATAACCTCTATGATAAAATGAAGTACGATTTTCCAATATAAGATGGCTATAATATATATTTTATATTCGAATTATGAGATATTAGAAAACTATATTCATTCTTTAAATTTTCCGAAAATTACCGATTCTAAATTTTTTGAAAATCTAGAGAAACGATATCAGATGCTATCATAATCCAGTATTAATTATATCGATAACCACGTAATATATTTTTATTTTTATCTCGAGAAAACAAGACCAGTACTGAGTAAATTAAAATATAATTTTAGGTCTCTAGTTCTAAATATTTTCTTAAGACCTCTAACTCGACTAATCATGCCCAAATATCGATAAATCGTACAATTCATATCGCCCCTACAAGAAGTAGCGGGTCCGCTTTAACAAAAATACTTTTATATATATTTTTTTTATAATTGATAGCAATATGTTTCCATGATCTGACAGTAGAAGATAGTGAAAACATATATGGAGAAAATAAAAATCGTAAGTAAGTGATTTTCAAATCTTCAGCTGGTTGGCCCGCGTCTTGACCATCAGAGATCGGGAAAAGCCATTTCTTCTCTCCTCCGTCAGTTTCGAAACCCATAAGCTTTCCCCTGCTGTGCGTTTGTCTTCTGCCGTGCAAGTTGAAACATTGCAAGCTTCGCCGTACCAACTGGCACTGTCCTGTGCGACCTCTTTCGTCGCTTCGAGCTCCTCTCAAGCATGGATTTCAAGTCTGTCCCTGAACACTAACGCTCAATTGAAACAGTCGTCGCAGACCTGCTTCGCTTCTTCAGCGTCGGCGGGGAGTTATCTGCAACGAACTAAACTTTGAAGGTTTCTACGAGACACTCGCTCGGTCATGAAACACATCAAAGGTGAATTGCAAATGTAAGGATGCATGATGGTTTGAATTCGCATGCTTTACCTCGCGCCCTTAGCCTTTTGGAATGCAGCATCAGACGGCACGCACTGTTCTTGGCGCTGCAAAAACCATGCTCTGCCTGTCGAGTGCGCGCCATCGCCGCGCGGTACGACAGGAAAGCATGCTCCTCATTGCTGGCCCAGTTCACCAACCAATTTCCCGGTCTTAGTTTGGCCGTTGTTGCTCAGACGCGATTGCTTCACTCCTCTTTTTCCTTCTCAAAAAGCCACCAGTGCTCTTTCCGGCGGAGTTGGTGTTCTGCATGGATGCTCGTTTGACATATCTCAATCTCAACTTCTGACATACGATGATGTCGTTGGTAGGTGTCTTGGCCGTGTTTGCCAGTCGTTGCACACGCAACCTTATCTTCGACTTTGGCCTTTCACTGACAGGACGGCCGAAACGCAGCCCAACCACTATGGGGCATGCTTGCACTGCAAACCGAGAGCCTTCGTCCGTGTGATCTTTGCGGCGGAAGACCTTGAAACCAGCGCGGGCACTGCCCTCGACGCGCCAGGCCGCCTCAGCCTCCTGCACCTGCCAGTCGAGCTCACAGACAGCGGAGTCAACTATAGGACCCGTCTGATTGCTCATACAGCACGTGCTGTGCTCTGTGACCACTGGCCTCCTCTTTGGTCAGCCTCGGTGGTGGCATGTCAACACAACACTGCCTCCTATTCATAGTCCGCATTCCTCTTCTAGAGGTGTGCAGATGGCAAACGATCCAACATGATTTCCATATGGACATTGACATCAGGTCGTGCGGGCATGAAACATTCTGAGAGCCTTGAGGTCCGAGCGCGGGCATGGAAGGCTTCCTTGCTGGTCGAACCAAATCCGCGACCTCATAAACATGGCTACCGTTCCAGCCAATGATCTGCTCACGTCTCAGAGCTTCAGAGGCACCAACCAAGATGACCCGTCACAAAGAAGCGCCGATACGAGATGGTCCGAGACGTTGACCGTTTGATCTGCCGTGGCATCCATGATGAAGCCCAGCGCCTGCAACTGGGGCACTCGCAGTTCGCAAACGCTGATGCTGCCAGGTTCGCCTCCTCTCCCTCGTCTTGGTCCTCCTCCCTCTCCTCCTCCTGCATCGGCGTCTCTGGCGGCTCGTGCAGACCGGCAGAGCTTCCAGCGGCTGCCTGCTTGCGTTATACGACAAAGTCAGTGCGCTCAAATACTCTGTCGAGCATCCCCTGGCAACATTTGTTTCGTCTTGGCTGGGTTCTTCCAGACGCTCCTCGAGCACATGCAGAAGGGGGGGAGCCACACCGGCAGAAGGCTTGCTTTGCGGCTAACAGTTGAAGCCTCACCTCCGCAGGTCCAGCCAGATGATGGATGTAATTTAACAGGGTAGAACCGCACTACGGCACCAGGTCTAGGTACTCAACTGAAGGTGCTGTGCCACTAAGGGGTGAAAGGATTCTGGGAGGCTTCCAGGGTTCAAAGGAGTTGGCAACTGGTTCGAGCTTCAAGCTCAGCCCAGTCCTAGAGTCAAGAGAACTGCTTGCATCATCCCACCCTTTCCGCGCCCACACGATGCACAAGAGTTAACACGCAGCCTCCACTGTCACTGTGAGGGAAGCTCGAGCATGTTCGCCTGCGTCAGGACGGGTGTGTCTTCGGCTCAAGTCATCGTGGGAGCTTCAGACCATCACTGCTTCAGGAGCCGAGCTATCACAGGTTGTGCGAGTTGGTTCTGTGAAGGTGGCTTGGCAACTACAGTAAACAGTGACAAGTCGAGCTGAGTTGAACTCGTCGCAGTTGCGGCACGTGGTCTGGCAGTCAAGTCTGACAAAAGTAGCACAGCATCCTCGCAACTGACACCTTCGTGCAGGGCAATCTGTCAAATGTCACGTCGTTTCACTGAAGCTAGCCAGCAAACAAATCCACTGCTTCCATCATGGCTTGTTTTCGGCCTCTGTCAGAAGCTTCTCGCTCCAATTCCGAGACTTTGCGCTTACTGCCAAACACCAACTGAGGCGGGTGACTACGCTGGGTCTTGACGTCTCCAGTGCGATCGGAAAGCTTGCTGTCCGAGAACCTGCCTGGCAGAACAACGACCCGTCCAGCAGTCACACGGTGTCTAGCGTCTTCAATCGATTCGCACTCGCAGCGCTGTCGGGCATGCCGCTTTGTGCATGCAACAGTCCACAAGTCAGAATAACCCTGTCGCCATAGTGGTCTTGGTTGCGTTCCTCCCATCCAACCGAAACGACAAACACAATGCCTTCTTCCAGCCGCCGTTTTCCTTTCAAAAACTCGTTGGCTGCCGCAGCTATCTTGAACGCTTTCGACACAGCCTTGCGTCCCCCTGCCGAGAGGACCGTGCCTTGATCTGGAAGGCGTGCAGCCACAAGCCCGGCTGCCAAACCTGTGTGGGTATATTCGGCTATCTTGAAATGGTCCGAACTCCCGGACAAGTCCCACTCCAAACCTTGCAGAATATGAAGCCTGGGATGGATCGTCTCCCGGTCAGCATCGAATGCTGACTTGGCTTCCTCTGGGACCATGTACAGAGTGAGCCCATGCTGCTGTCGCGTCTGTCGTTGTGCCCGGATCAGTGCGAGGAGTGCCCAATGTACAGCGCCGTGATCTGTACAGTCAACAATGCAAAAGCTCTGGTCCTTCACTTGCAACTGGATCAAATTCGCAAGATCGTCAATGCGGGTGCGTCTGTCGCACAAGAGAGCAGGAGCTTGAATGCTCGTACTATACTTTCTGTATCGTCTCCACACATCCGGCTGGCGGAAGCGGAGCACGGCTGCACGGTGGAATCGCGGGCTGCAGCAGGCAGCCAGCACGCTACGAGTTGAAGCCATGTCTATGACATGTCGCGCCACCAAGTGCCACCAACCCTGAAACAAACCAAAGCACCACCTGAGCAACTCGAGTAGCAACAGATTCGTGTTTGACATCTTACAAAGGACCGCGTGCTCACTGAAAGACCTGCCACGATCGTGGCCGCGGCCGCATGCCATCCAATCTCTGGTCGTGTGTTTGCCCTGGGGCCGAAATGGCATGTCACAGGCCAACGCCGACTCCCACACAAGTCTCGTTTGCACTTGCACTTCTGAACGAGCCAGAAAGAAAGGACCGAGGCTATCTACGTAAGACACGCAGGCAGGAGAAGTGGGGAGAGGTGGTGTCCCCTTCCAACAGCCTATGCTGGTTCTCTCCTCTTTCTTTTCGGGGTCTCTGTTCAGCACAAGCTTTGTGCCTTCGGGTGAAAGTTTTCCCGACGAGCAGCTCTAGACCCATGGTCTGAAGAGCAAGACTCGTTCTGACCTGATCTCTCGCTTTACAGGTCAGTTTCCCCGGCCTGAGCCGAAGGTGACATTCCCACGTGGTTCCTCCCATCCAACGACAGGCGGCACACCGCATGTGCGAGCGACACATGATCTAAGCTTTCGGAACTTTTGCGCTCAACTTTCCACAAGGGTGTCCTCTGCAGATCGTTCTCTGCACTTGCCGGAAGTGCCATGCCGTGTGGATCCTGGCCAGCAGCTCTAGACTCTAGCGACAAGCTGCTGCTGCCAACGATGCATCGTCTCGGGTTCACCTCCATCTGCCCCAAGATCAAAGACCTGAAGGCACCATGTTGCCGAATCCAAACTCGTAAGGGAAGAATTGACCTCTGCTCTGCCTTGAAGAGCCGGTCTGCTTTGGTGTCCCGATCCCTTCCACAACGGAACACTGCACGGCTGCTGGTGGTAGTCGATGAACGGTTGATGAACGAGTGATTGGAAGTCTCAAGTCTCCAAGCGAGGGAAAGGCTTCACGCGCCTTCCAAGGTCCAGCGCTTTCAGGTTCCGGCGGCGCATCCGCGAGGAACAATTTGTACAAGTGCCCCGGGCGCAGCCAGCATTGTGAAGGTGGTTGTCTGAGCGCTTCACATTCCGAAGACCATCTGAGCCAGTCGCCGGCTCTAAGCTATACACAGCCTTGTTTCTTGCTGAGTGCATGTTGAAAATGGAACTGATATTCACTGCACTGCACCCAGAGCTGGGCATGTTGAAAGACGATCAGCTGATTAGCTCGCAGAATCAAGTTTGGCAGCTTACTGCGGGGACACAGGCCAGGCTGGCACCTCCTGTGTTGCCCTACATGCGGCAGACCGTGCCGAACGATTTCGGAACGACTCCCTGCGGCGGATTCGCTACTCGTGCGTCTTGCAGGCAATACTCTGACTGCCAGACCAGTGTAACTTTAACTATGAACAGGCACGTTGCAGGTAAAGGAATCATGGCTCGAACATTGCTCGAACCGATTCACAGAGATAGAGAGACTTTCACATCTCCGGTTGCAATTCACCCATCCTTCTCCCTCACCTGCAAGGCAGTATCAGACTACAACGCTGGCTGTTGCAGCACAGTGCCGTGGCTATAGCAGCGATGCCTGTCAGCAGAACTCACAGCTGTCCAAATGTTCTTCATCGTCCCTAGTAGTGCTTCCTTTTCGTTGTAGCGACTGGTGACCGTGAACAAACTTTCAATCCAGCGGTGAGCTCGCACAGACCATAGGGCGACACCAAAATTGCTTTGAACAAGGCAATGCATGCCAACTCCGCGCAGAGTGGGCGGACTTGGTACCTGTGGGAGGTTCAAATTCTGTGAGCTACAGAACCGACGTCCAGGGGAGATTGATCGAATGCTTACGTCTTGGGAGTCTCCCTTAGACATCCGTGCTAGGCTATTGAAAGGCCGTGGGCTGGCCAAGCCACAGCTGATTAATAAGATTTCCTCGCTTTGGCAGCAACGAGCGGCCACGTAAGCTGTGTCAAAGCAAGTCCTCACACGTTGCACTCAAACGCTTGCACACAACTTCCGTTTCCTGGTGCGCACCGCAGTCTCGTCTGACGTAGGAGGGCTTGCGGACACTGTAGTGCGCCATTTGGTTGATGGCTCTTTACCACGAGCTCTCATTGCTCACGCTGTTGCTGGTGCTCTCGCCTCGAATTTCTGAGCAGGAGTGCTGAATCTCCTCATGGCATCCCAAGCTTCCGGCTTTCCGTGCTCTGCGAATCGAAGTTGAAACCCACCGAAGGGGTGACCTGCACAATCTTCGAGCCCTGTAGTGTGCAGTCCGAGTACTGTGGTACCCTTGAGCAACTACTCATCTTTCACACAGCCCCGCAACACTGAGCTGAAAGCCTGACGAAAGAGGGCCCCCATGCTGTTTTCCTGGGAATTCGACGGCCATTATGACAGAAACAACCTACCAAGCATCCTTTTACAGGGCTGAAGCCCAAAGAGTGCAATGTAAAGTTACACCGTGTCAGATTAAGATGAGTCAAGCACACACAACACAGGGTTTCACGACCTTTCAAAGCGCTGAGCGCGGCCCAAGGGTCACTGGAAGCTTGGCTCCTTAGATCCGGACAAGTGCAAAATCTACCACACCAGAACACGCCCAAAAGTGCCACTTTCCTGATCCAATCCTGGAAAGAGATGTATCCAGGCTGAAGGCTGCTGGGGCCACGGCCACTTCCGCAAAGGCCTCTCGTGCCTGGAAGTCGTACCTGCCACAGCAAAACAGGACAGAATTCAACTCGCGTTTGCGGACGAAAAAGCGAATGATCGGCGCACGTAGTAGGGTGTGAGTGGAGAACCAGTCGTACTTGCACATGTTCAGAATCTGGCACAACTTTGCCCCAGAGGTGGAGAGCATGGCCGAATCTGGACAGCATCAAGGCCATGGCGTAGTAGAGCACTTCGTCGTGCAGCCAGTAAAGTGGCGATCTTGGAAAGCTGGGCACTCTCACAAACGTCACAAACGTTCCCCAAGTCTCTATAGTGTTTTCTGAGCAATGTCCCTACCATCAACAACTTCTCAGGTCGGTGCTCAGGCTTCCTGGCGCAGAGTAGCAGGAGCCAGGCAGCCTGGTGAGCACATCAACACCTCGCTACAAGTCGGAATGGAAGTGCTGCGATGAGTGGTGTCGGCTTCTCCTTCTTCATGTCTTTTGCGACAGGAATGCTTTTTCGCAGTCGCGCAAAAAAGCACGGCAGAGGCATGAAGCACAAGCAAATGCTCCGTCAGCAGCATTACAAACCCAAGGCTTGTGAACATTTTCTTTTATCTGCTATACGTGATCAAAAACTTCAACGCTGAGGGCAGCTGACCTGTCCCTTTGCAGGGCCAAGGGCTCGCAGCTGCACAACTTCGGTGACATACAGTCTGCTGCTGCATGAAATCCGTGGCGCCAGCAGCTTTTGGACCAGCTCTCCGCGGTCGAGGGGGGAACTAGGCGTAGATGACTATGCCGCGCAGCTCACTGCGACACAGCAAGGTGCCGTGAACGCCGACGGGCGGTGCAGCACTTGGCAGCAGAGGAGCCGCAAACAAGGGTACTCAAAACCAAGCACACTATGAGCATCATTGGCCCGGGCTTCCCCCGAGACCACCACCACCACCACCACCACTAGCGCCATTCATGCACTATGAATCATGACTGTCATCTGGACCAGGGTCGAGAAATGGCTAAGCCTTGCGTCAGGCACGCATCGTAGTCAGCATCAGGCATGAGTCCAGAATGCTACGGCTCCCCATGCGGCAAGACACAAGTCAATTCGACATCATGAGGAGCCAGAGCGTGATTGTGTGTTCCTGGAATTCAACACGTCGTTCCATGCTGAAACGCTTGCTTGACTGCTTATCGTGCAAGGCCCGACCGCTGGCATACAACTGAGACATACTGAGACCATCCCAATCCAGCAAGCGCGCCTCCTTGAAGGCAGGCCTTGCACAGGAGCTTGACGCATGTCTATTGACATTAAAGCCGTCTGCCAATCCTCGCTACCAGGCCAGCCAACATCTACATGAACCTAACTTAACCGCCAGTGGGGCCAGTAGGCATCCTCGACCTTATCTCGGCTAAAAACTCGACATGCTTCTAAGGTCTGGGCGGAAAGCGCTGGTGAACATCCGCCACAGGATTCCAAAGAATGTAGTTCACGCCGTAGGACACACGGCCTGTGATTCAGCCGTCAAAGGGCCTTTTCCGGAAGTGTGTGGCAAGGATCAATGTCATGTCGTATGATTGAGTGTTGGGTGCAGATCCCTCCTACGCGAATGTGGCCCTTTTCCCGCACAGTGTTGTCGGACCAATTCCTGCACTGCCGGGCTAAACTGTGCTTGCGCCTACAAATTCTCGGCGCTCTCGCCAGGGAAAGCCCCACCTTGGTCAGTAAGCTGCGTGCGAGGCAACAGTCATTGAGCGAACAAACAGTTTGGCGACGGGACCACCGCTGGTGTTTGTTAATTTGCAAGTTTTTCGTGTGCCTGGCCAGGTGTGCGAGTAGCCAGGGCTGTGGCATCCCATGTCTCCCGAAAGGCCGATTTGACAGATGGGCCTGGCCTTAGTTGAAACGAGGGGATCCTTTCAATGGTACCACACTCTTGGTTCTCAGGAAACAACCATGAATGAAATCGTATCCTGTCTGCTCTTCTGAAACTGCTGATCGTGTAGGTCCCGGGTTCTCGACCGGGCAGCACCTTCAAGATAGCATCCTGCACAGCGACTGCGACTGGTACCACAGGGTCGCAAAGTGCTGCTACCAGGCCTCGTGTGTGACAGCAGCTCTCTGATTGTCATACCTCGACCGGCTTGATCCATGAGACGTGTTGCCTGTTTGCTTGAAAGTTGAGGCCCAAGCACGAGAGCATCATCGCCCGCAAGCTTCGAGTGCACCTGACTTGACGCATTTAATGTTCAGTGCGCAGCCAATAGAGGAAACAAAAGACTACTTTCTTACGTACCAGTCTTCCGAGGCCCGGGCGTAGACGCCACAACTCTCTCCTGGGGCAGCTGGCTGCGGTGTTCTTGAAGCAATGGACTTGGTGAATGCCAGCACACATGACGATTGCATGTGTATGAAACGAAGGACTTGGTATCACTGAAAGATGACTCAGCCGGCATGTTCGAGTCAATTTCTCGGTGCTGCTTGTTGCAATTGCTGCAGGCAGGCTGACCAGGCATTCCGCAAGACACACCGGTGCAATGTAGGAAAGCTGGCAAAGTGGCTTGGCTATTACCTCTGCCGGTCCCCAAGTCTCGGCCTTGCGAATGGTGCATTGGGTAAGTAGCCTAGTTGTCTGCGCTACGGATGGCTCCTGGCTGCAGGCGAATGGGGCTCACGAGGTCGAGTGGTTGGTAGTTCTGCCAAGCAGTCAATGGATCCTTCGTGGGATGGCTCGATTCTTGGAAAGCCAGCCTGGCGCGATGGAGTATGCTCAGCTTCGTAAATACATTCCTTGGGCAGGAGAGCACTGCGCGCGACCGGCCAGGGACTGCACTCGTTGAAAGTTCTCGGATTCTTCTGAGACTGGGCTGCCGAACCCATTTCTCTCTGGCATGCTCCTCGCAAGGGTGGAATGCCACCGCCATGCTCCAGCACACGAAGCAACTGCGTAGTAACCACACGTCACCAAAATCTGTCGAGCTGTTTCGGGCCTTGCAGGCCCGTGGACTACATGTGGCTCCATCCGGTCATGACCACCACATAACGGCCACAGATTCTATGTAGCGGCATGGCCACGGAAGACATGCCTTCTTTTTGTAGGAGCCAGGCGTAGTCCAAACCTTGTTCGGCGGTCTCTCTTTCAAAGCGGCCATTGAGGTTCTGCTAAGGAAACTCGAACATGACTCGCTGATACGTTCTGCGACTACCCGGGCTCATCAGAACTTGTCAGCCCGGGGTTTGGAACTTCTTTGCCCCTGCAAGGGTCTTGTGCTCAGCTCGGATGGCACCAATAAAGCAGGCTTTGACACTCGCAGCACCCCTCAAAGACGCGAAGGAAGTCTGAAAGCACATCTGGGTTCCGAGCAGTCATGGGTCCGAGGTCCCCTCGAACCTCGGTGACAGGAGTCTGGAGAGAAAGAGTTGAAGTCCAACCATGCCAAAGCATTGCAACTTGTCTGACTGACAGAGCGCTCGCCGCCTGATCACAGCGACTTAGACTTGGGGCTACTTGTAGTGAAGCCTGAGGCCATTCGTGACCCCAAACACGAATAGTCAAGGCAGGGCTGTGGAGTCTACATGAGTCTACCGAGTGGCGTGCCAATAGCATTTCTTACAGCATGCCTTCTCCATCATATCAATCAGAGGCAGGGGCTGCCAGACAGGTGATGAGCATAAACTCAACAGGTACCTCCAAGGGAAGCTCAGACACGCAGTCAAGCCATGGCCAAAGCGCTTGTTCTAAAGAACATGTTGAGATCACGCAGACTGCAGTAGTCTCCAACAGCCCCTGGAGTGCAAGCGCACGGCACCGTCTTCCTGACCCTTGCATTGGATGTCAAACCTGGTGGACCACACAGAAGGTACGCGGCACGTATCACTTGCCCCGCTTCACATCTTAAACCCTTGCCGCTGATTGAAAGGTGGGTTGGGTTTTGCCGGCTAGTCCTGATAAAGTTCTCAAGTGCACAAGTCTCAACCACAAGCATGCAGACTCTGGTCCAGCTGCATCTCGGAGGGGGATGAGAGAGGAGGGAAGAGTGGGTGGCGGACATAGACATGAGCTCACCGAAAGTGAAACCAACGAGGACGGAATGCATTATCGAGAGGCTCACCTCTTTGCATGGTCCCGGTTCGTGTCCCCACGTTGGCAATCTAGGAGTCAACTGCTTGTTGATTTCTTGGCTGATGCCATTCTGCATCGAATGCATCATGCGTGTCAAGGCGCAGGTTAAACATGATTAAACGAAGACCAGCGGAATTCAAGAGACTATCACGAACACAAAGCAAACATGTGAAGGAGTATGGCCAGCACCACCGTATTAAGCGCGTCTGTCCATGACTTCCCTGCCCAGTCAATTCGAGGTATCGCCCACGCACAGCAGGGACATCCTAGCTGTTTGGTTCGCCATTCAGAATCTGGTACAGTAAGCCAGTGGGAGGATTCCTCTTGTCGCAGAGTTTGCGGAACAAGCCAACTACGGTCCGTTTTTCATTCCTGAAGGGAATGATACGCGCTTTTTTTGGTACATCGTCGAAAACTGATGGGGTGAAATACGAATCATCTGGCAATTAACGTGGTGCTCGATTCGATTCAGGGAGCGCAGTTCATTTTTATCTTGTCCAAAGGCCAGTAGGTCAGAAGCAATATTAGTGCATCACCAGCATTCGCGATTCGCTCTTCCTGTGTGCTCCAAGCCAAACTTCTGGGCTTCCTGCATGACGCCACAGAACGTGTGGTCCTCGTGGTCACGAGTGTCCGCCGTGAAGCTCTCGTGGATGGTGTGGTTCGCCACCTTTCACCGATTTTTTCGGCACCGCAACGGCCCGGGAGCCGCGAACGAGCGAAGCAAAGGCTCTCGGCCTCGCCTTGGGCCGGCGCATCACTGCCGGCACATACCTCAGCCAGGCTCTGGCCAGGGGGAGGCTTGCGCGATATCTCACTCTTCCTCGCTTCTGAGCTTCTCACTCTTCCTCTTCGGACTCACTTTGATACAGGAACATGGCTGCTAGCTTCGGCGGGCCGATGCTGCTACGCTGCAGGCTCGGTTCGCCGTATATGAGATAGCACTAATGGCACTTGTCACGTTTCTCAAGAGACCGGCCCAGATCTTCTCAGAGTCATGCCACCCCTTGATCGAGGAATGGTGCAGCGGCAAAGCCAAGACATCATGAGCTGACCGGACCTGATCGCACGACCCAGCACCGGACCTAATCATGCAAGCTCCGGGCACAAACGATGGGCAACACAAAGTGCTCTCCAGCAGGCTCCGCCACCACTGATGGAGCTGATACGACAATTGCAGCACTGAACTTAAGCTGTCATCATAACAGGTCTCTGCATGACAAGCCCTTTTTCTCTACTCTCGCGGCTGTGGGTTATCCTCTCAGCTCTTCACGAGCGTCTCAGGCTTCATGTCGGTCACATAACAACTTCGCAGGGAAGATGTCTGGCCGACACTGGTGTGGAATCTCTCTGGCACGTCAAGCGGGCCCCAGTTGCCTGGCCTAGGCATCACAAAATCGCTTCCAAGGAGCACAGCTTTCTGCGAGGGGTGGGTTTTGCTGTCGAGGCGTTCCTTGTCAGGCTGCCGTGGATGGGAATGTTGTTGGGTAGCACTTGCACGAAAAGCTGCGCAATAGGGCTTGACACTGAGCTGCGCTAGCAGCTGGGCGTGAAGCCTGTAGCGTTGGGCAACTGCTTCGAAGCACCAACGGCAAAGCAGACATCGAGGAAGGGAACGGAGTGTTGTGTACTCCTATGTCTACGACATCTATGGAATCGCTAGTCGAATTTTGCCCTGGCCTTGTGCCAAGGGGCGCATGCGCTGAAAGTGATGGAAAAGGCATGTGAAGAACATGGCCTCTCTCACTTCGTGAAACGTCTTTCGTGGTGTACTTATGTTCCAGCAGCACCACAAGCTGTTTCTGCACGAAGACTACGGGATATTTTATTTTGCAAGCCTTGCAGCTGCATTGCACGAATTCTTTCTGACTTAGTTTGCCAGCTGCTTCCACTTTTTGCAGACCTCCATGTACCTTGGGTGCCCGGGTCTTTGCACTCACGCCCAAGATTCTTGAGGAGGTGGTGAGAGTGGGCCAAGCAGGGTGTAGGTCCAACCCGAATGTTAGTCATGAAGCGCTTCGCCCGCTGCATTGACTTTGCCTTCGTCGTCGAACAAGCGCAAATTGTACGTGCCTTGAAGGAGCGTGCTGCGCAACAAAACAACCGGAACCGTGGAAGTAAGGATCAACGCACCATCAATATGATCAAAGGCGAGGGTCTCCTGACCCAGCCTCGATAAACTACTACTGGACAGGTAAACAACGGTAAGCTCTAGACTCGGAAGGCAGCCAATATATCAACATCAAGCGAAACTGACTTTGTTTAGCATTATCCTTCTTCTTTCGTTTCTAGTACCTGTTTGTTAACAGGCGGTTGGGCAGCTGCATCTGCGATAATGTGCCTTCTTCATCTGCACTGCAAGGAACTACTCCGCGGTTCTGGCAGTAGGACGTCAGTACATTCGATATTATATTGACTTATTCCGGAGTACTTGAGTTGAAGAAGTCCAAGCGGAATGTAACGGTTTTCGCTGGATTTTCGCTCGTTGCAGTGTCCAAGCTTGCTCGTGATCCTAAGTCAGGCTGTAGAGTACAAAGGGCATGCTCGCCGTCATGCGGATCTTCCCGCCTCCCTCTCGATCTTGGTTAAACCAAGCGAAGCTCTTCACCACAGGTCGGCCGTCGCTCGTTTTGACGCTAAGGGCTATCCTCGGTGCTGCATGACATGCTGCTTCGGCTACCTTGTAAGTGCTACCTTAACACACCACCGACACCACACACACCCGATGTTCCATGGCATGCCAAAGTAATCCTGTGGGAAGCCAGTGAAGCTTTACCACCAAACCATGCCTTTTCAGCCAGTCGGTCACTACCTCATTATTCGAAAAAGCGGCTCCAGTATTCTGGTCACAAATGAGGCCAGGCCGTTGGGCAGCTCTTCATTCTGAGGGCAACCTGTGCTGCAGTTTGACTGGGGTCTAAATCTGAGCAGCTCTGAGCTGACCCGCCCACGTCCGCAAAAACAGATGCAACAGGGTCTACCTGAGGCAGTGCACTTTTTTTGCCGATCACGGCGGCTTGTCGCAGAACTCTTTGCTGTCCAAGCGGCTGAAGTTCGGATCGTCCTTTGCAGGGAACTGGCCCGAGTCGGGGACGCAAATTGGATCATCTTCCGTCGGACCGGCGCAGTTTAGCATTCCTACCTGGACAGCAGATTCTGAGGCGGCGGTGGATGTTGGAATCGGTTCTACCACGACGGCTGCTGTGCCTCGTTGACGATGGCGCCTTTGATGAAGGGATACTTCCTGAGCTGCAGTCCGCATGTCCCCTCTGTTTCGGTATCTGCACATGCCGGATTGCCAGGCACTAATCGTCATAAGGCATGAGAGCCACAATCCTTTTTTTGAACCCAGACTCTTTGCTATCAGACTAAACCCTAAACGCTTCACTTGAGCCCTTCAGCACCCGCAGAAGCTCAGACGCACGATGTCCGAGAACAGATAGCTCTCACAAGATCGAACACTTGGAAGGCTTGCCCTGTGGCATGTTTACTTGCACTGTGACATCCAATTGAACTCCAAAGCCTCTTGTCGATGCACCATGGGACCAACATACGACGTCGAGGTATGATGGCTTAGGTAGTTTAGGAGCAGGAAGGTGGTACTGTACGTAACCGTCCCGGCAGCAACGTCCACGAGGGTTGACAGAACTGCTCAGGACCCCTTCGATCCAGGCCAGGTTCCACAGGCTGTCCACAGGTTTTGATAACTGACTAGCAGAATGCAGCGGTTGAGAAGGGCTCAGGCCCCCCTCGTACAAAGCGGCACGAAATGAGCAGACCTGTTCCGAACAAAAGCCTGCGACGTCTTTCATGCACGAAATTCGACATGCTTGTGCAGCTGGGAATCTCCATCAAGTCCGCGATGTCTTGCACCCGTGCCTGACACTGAATTCTGCTAGGCTCAAGCATGTTCGAAACCTCCGTCCTGACTAGCCTTGCTGAGCCCTACCAGTTGAGGGCTTTCGGCTGCGACTTTTTTCGTCGCTCAGCTGATGTCGTCGACGGCACAAAGACGATGACACATGTTTTTTTTTTTTTATCACCTCTTTTCCTTCGCCTGATTAGGGTTCCGGAATACCATGCTGGTTGAGGCATGTAACAGGAGCCAAGTTACCGTCAAGGTGATTCGACCTTACGACACCACACATCGAACCCTCACTACCCTGGCTCCTGTGAAGCGGCACATCTGCTGTCATGCGAGCCCTCGGTCTGTCAACACCTACCAAATGCCGCGTACACCTTAATCTACAATATCACAACACCAGACTTCGGGCAACACCGAGACCGCTTCGATAGGGAGGGGTGGGGGGGGTTGTTGTTCGTGGATTTGGGGAACAACAAACCCCCCCACCCCGTGGGCGGAGGCGCGGGGAGAAGGGGGG